ACGGAACTTAAGCTAAAAAGCGATTGATTTAGTTCATTGGAATTTGTCATGAGTCATGAGTCTTAAGTGTTCTGACCGCTCAGGATCTTCTTTGAGCGGTCAAATAGGCTTACTTGTGAATTTGGCATACCCCAAAACTTACAATCCAAATTTGGTCCTCTTTTTCAGTAAATTATAGAAAATTACGTATGGCGTAGTGAAAATCCAACATCGGTATATACAAAAGATATTTGGCATGTATAGTAGACTACTCCAAAACATTTTCAACCCGGATACAATTTCGTTAGCTATCGTTATCAGTCGGAACCTTGTAACTATCAATGCCAAATCAAAGGGCACTATCCTGGTAGCTATCGGTGTCAATACGGACACTAGCAATCAATTGATCATGTGTCTCAAACAGGACACGATCCACACGGCTATAATCCCGTGAACTATCAACGCCACTACCACTGGGCGCAAAATCCTTTGCTATGTCAGCTGGACAATAGCGATCTATCAATGTCTTGTACAAGACACGATCTCGATTTGTACGTTCCAACAAACCCAATATTACTCTCAACACTTTAATCAAAGCGGAGTTTCTGTATTAACTAATGTATTTGAGATTTATATGTTACAAGTTAAAGTTAATAGATGTAATTATAATTCCTACATTGATATCTATATCACATGATTAAGGCAGATCATATTAAGTATTACAGCACTGTTGAAATAGGCCTGGTTAAGATGGACGTCATCATCTATATCACAGGATTAAGCTAATCCTGCTAACATGATTATTTGAAACGCAGTTCAAAATGTCTATATCACAGGATTAAGCTAATCCTACTAACATGTTTATTTGAAACGCAGTTCAAAATGTCTATATCACAGGATTAAGCTAATCCTACTAACATGTTTATTTGAAACGCAGTTCAAAATGTCTATATCACTGGATTAAGCTAATCCTGCTAACATATTTATTTGAAACGCAGTTCAAAATGAATAATGGGTTTTAGGTAGAAGTTTACAAACATAGATAGTTAATAATGTATAACGTAGAATATTGTGTTACCCGATATTTATTACAGGCATACAGAACATATTTTCTGAAGTCGTATAACCAACTTTTTTAAAATTGTGTTTAATTCGTTTCCTTTTATCATTAACAATTTCACCTTTTAACTGATGGTCTGAAAGTGTTCAATCTTTAAATTGGCGCATTTTCAAAAATAATGAGTATCAAGATTTTGACGGTTCTTAAACCTTCCCTGGGGTCAAACAAAATTTGGGTTCAATCGGTTAAGCCGTTTTGACGTATATTGGACACAAATAAACAAACAAAGTACATATATAGAATTAAACTGGGTTTGAAGTTGTCACTTATTACTCATGTTTTTTGGACTCTCTGTATTTTGAAACTTTAATTGGAAGAAGAAAAGAATGAATATTTTACTTTGACATTTTTTGGTTTAGATTTATCTCAAAATTCTTCCAAAAAGTTGAAATTACAACAAGAAACTTAAAATCTTTTGTGTCACAGTTAATTGTGAGGAACTGGCCGAAATTTGCAGACTGACATTTGCGTAAAACCTGCTAATTTATGTATTTTGCACTGATTGAGTTACACATTTAAGAGAACTGAAGGGTTCGGGGGGGGGGGGGAGTACTGGAGGTTGGTCGGGGGTAAAGATTGGAAGAAATTGATTTGGGAGGAAAGGGGAGGGATATTTATAAACATGTTATCATGAAAATATCACAATATAAAAATTAATCTTAAAAGTTAGCAGACCCAGTTTAGTCAAATAAAATAAAATATAAATTTAGGATTTCAATTGGACAAATCTTGAAACTTTTTCTTGCCTAACGATTTAAATAAGAGGTTTGGTCAATTTCTACTTCCTCAGGTCTTTGAATTAATAGGCCTAAGCCTGGTTTTATGCTTTCTGCAAATGATTTAATTTGTCTCGAAATTGTGTGCAAACATAAAGGTTTTTAAAGGCAATTGGTTGTTTTTCTTCTGGTTCTTCTTGTTTGGCCGATTTTTCGTTTCATTTTAGCGGATTTTAACAAATTTGTGGATGATTTAAAATTTCCATTTATACAGAAAGACCCTGTATAAAGTAGTAATCTCGGTTTGTACGTCTGAGCCATGAATCCATTGACCAATTTGTCTCAAATTTTGATTGGGAAACTCGGTAGAACTACGGGAATGTTCTTAGATGGGTCAAAGATTCAAAGTTGCGTGAGTTTACTTTCAAAGGTAAAATTTAGTTTCCAAGGCAAAGCTGGGTTTCCAGGCTAATTCTAAATTTGCTAATTCATCATTAAAAAACAGAGAGGAATTGATCCTTTTCAACAAACTCATTTTTCTAATTCTCATTTCTTTGCATCCTGGGGCCGAATTTAATGAATTTGAGCTACGTCTGATCGCTATCTGTCGGTTCAAGTTTAAACCCCCTTTTCAAAGTTAAAGATTCAGGCAGGATTTAACTCAAGGATTCGAATTTGAACTGGCAGTGGGCAGTTCAGCGATCCCTTCATTAAATTCGGGCCAAGATGCTGTAAACCTCTGAAATTTCAAACTTAGATTATTTGATCTTACAAATTTCTTAAATTCTTAGTTTGAGATATAAAAGGTTTACGACACCAGATTGCAAAGATATAGGGATTAACAAATTAGAGTTTCCTTTTTTCATTTAATTTCCTTTTTTTCGCTCAACAAATTTGTATGCCCCTAACATTCTGTTCACGGATTTTGAACAAAATATTCGTTATTTCGAACTTCTGGTGATATTCAAAATGCGAACAATGAATTTTTTCTTCTGAATATTAGAAGTTAGAAAACAATTTTTTTTTGCTTTTTATATAATTATCCATTGATGTATACTTGATTATTTTGAAAGAAAACTACTAAAGGTTCCATGGTATTATAGAAAACTACTAAAGGTTCCATGGTATTATAGAAAACTAGCTTGGGAACCAGGCTTTGACTGAACCCAATATTTTCTCTATAAAAGGAAATTAATTAAGCTTAGACTTTTATATAAAACCATGGGCTAGAACATTCAAAGTGTTCTATTGATTTCTTTAGCCAAAATTTGAGGCAAATCGGTTAAGATATCCCATATTGTTATTATTAAATTTAAATTGGATATTTCATGTTTAATATTTAATTTTAAACTGTTTAGAATATGCCTGACGAAACTACTTAAAAGCTTAAGCAATCTCATCTCTATTTTTTCTGAGAAGATAATATTTATCAAAAATAAAAAGGGGATTTAAAATTCTATTTTTTTTGTTTAATACTTTTAGATTATGTTTGTTTAGCGCTCGTATTGTCGGTTTTCATCAATAGAATTAAAGTTCTTAGCCCCGGCCATGCAACTGAAATCAAAACAAATAAATCATAAAATGAATCTATTTTATTTTGTTTATGATCGTTCATAAAAAAATATTTAAAGAGATACCTTCGTTTATACGTCCAATTCTGTTTTTAATCAAAGGGAAACTAAAATTCACGTTCAAAATCCAGTTTTATCAAATAATGCTTTCCAATGCACATTGCTGCTAGAAATGGACACTTTCGTTTTTTAATTCGCTTTGAAATTTTGTAATTTTGAAAATTTTGAAACGATCATTTGGAAAAAAGGTGTCGTTTAAAAAAATTTCAAAAATTATCGTTTTTAAAAAGAATTTGTGTTGTTTTCTGTTGTTAAATCAAAACGATGTTTTATGTTTCTTTTTTCATTTTAAAGCGAAAATTATATTTTTCGTTTTCCGTTTAAAAACCAAAAACTATTTTTTTCTTATTTAGAAAAAAATCTTTCGCTATGATAGCAAAACGATACACAAATGGAAACTCGAAAAGAAAAAAAACGATAGCATTAAAAAAAAAACGATAGTTTTGAAGAAAAAAACGATAGTTATGTTCACATTTGGAAAAACATTTTTCAGTTTTCTAAATCTGGATAATTTAATTTTTTCCATTCTTGGACTTGATCACACGTGACAAATTCTAATTATCTAATCCCTATATTTTCGCAAACTGATGGTGTAAACTTTAGACTTTTTATCTAACATAATTCGTAGCTTAAAAAATAAGAGGTCAGTGACGTCAGGGGCCTGATTTAAAAAATAGCAAGACGTAATTGGACCGCGTGAAACCATTTCTAATTTGGTGTTGATGATACTCCAAACGTCAAAGTGTAAATATAATAGGTGTTAGAACCACATTTAAAAAAAATATATTTCGTTCAATGTTTACCCTCTTCATTATTAACGAAATTATAATCATCAAAATCAATATCAAAATTTTTTTTTAAACGCAAGAAAATAAAGAAAACAATTTAAACCCATTTATCTTGTGCACCAGTTCTTGCTGAAGATAAGTGGTTGAACCACGTCTACGCTGTTCAACTATATCTCGCTATTCGTTAAATCTGGTTTCATGGTTTCGATAAACAGCTAGAATTAATGTACCAACATTTATTATAAGTATTTTTCCAGGGCGCTTCGCCCTCAGCTTTGATTTGAATTATAATTGTTTCTCTTTTATCATTCTTTTTAAGGAAAATTTTTAAATTTTAACCATCCATGAACATTCTCTAGGATCATGTGAGGTACCACAACAAGTTTTGGCCCGATCAGTTCAACCGTTTTGATATTTATCGGTTACAAACAAACACCCAAACAAACAAGCAAAGTATATATACAGATTGTGAATCGGTTTATTAAATTGCATAGAAAAGGCTCAACTACGTAAGCGGTTAAACTTCTTCTCACTTTTCATAAAATTTGGCCCCAGGTTGCAAAGATTATAGAATTAGAAAATTATAATTTTTGTCGAATAATAATCCTCTTTAAAGACTGAAAAATATTTCTAAAATGTGTCTCATGTATAGGAAGGAGAATATAGAGGACAGAGAAAAGTGTTAAACGAGGCTACGAGGTTTTTATCCTATTTAAGAGAATGTTTTTCTTCATCTGGATTAATTTCTAAGAGACCATCAACCATCATGGAAGATGCACAGGTTTTTTTAGATTTTTCTATTTAGAGATCTTTAAAATAATTATTTTCAAGTTTTCTAATTTCCAATCTTTTTAGTTTTGTACATTTTTTAGTAGATAGTGTTGAATTGGAATTTTCTATGTACAGTGTTAGTTGAAGATCCGCCTAAAATTACTGATGGGCATCGACGTTTTGAGGCCTGTTTTTCAATATTCAACGTTTTTTAAACTTTTAAACACTCCACAAGAATCTAAGAAGTAAATCGTTTAAGGCCTGTTTCTCAATATTTAACGTTTTTATAATTTTATAAGAGGCTCCTCGTAAATCTGAGATGTAAATCCTATTTCAGAAATGTTTGTTCTGAATAAAGATATTAACCAAAACGATTTTTTCAAACCAATTAGAAAATCGTTTTTTGTTTTGAAAAATTGCTTTGGTCAGTATCTTTGAGCAAAGAAAAGAATTCGCATAATGTAATAAAAGAAAAATTATCGAGAAAACAATATTTCAATTTAGATAATAATTTACAATTTTGTGAAAAAGTTTAAACGTAAACAAAACCTAAATGTCTGAAGACGAACCTTAAAATGATGACGATCCCACTAATAGTGCAGGGCTAGTTACATCAGCCTGAAGAATATAGAACCCCGTATACATCCTAAAATGGATTGAAAAAATCAATTATGAAAATTTTATTTTGGTACAATACATAAATATTGTTAAAATTATTGATAATGATTTTTTCTGTTTTACCTCTTTACACCAAAACAAGGGGACTGTAAGCGTAGTTTCAAATAACCCTCCAAGGAAAGATGGAATTGTCCGATTTACAACCGAGCCTCGTCTGATCAAGTGTGAATTAGATTTCTTGTTTACGAATTCAAAAACTGATTATTTTCAATTGTTTGTTCTCTACAAAATTGACTCGCGCATTTTTACAACAGGAAAACATGGAAGTTAAAAACTTTTATGCCTAGAAAAACTTCAATAAATCCACATTATTGAGCAAATAAAGGTTTCAAGAGTACCGTGAATAAGACATTACCATCTTTGCTTGGAGAGTCATTTGAAATTGCGTTTATAGTCCCAGTAAATACCTTAGGAACAGCAATCTGATCTTGGATCAGCTAAATCAATCTCAGCATCATCAATCAATCAATCAATCATCACTGTATCCACCATGTTGTTAAACCTTGTCAAGTTTGCCTCCTGTGCGGATAAAAGTGAAATTAAAGGGTGGGTATAATGAGTATTTTAAAATAATGACTCAGAGGTTCAAACTTTTGATGGTTGGTTCAGTTATTAACGGACTATAAGTCCTGTAACTTGAACCATGGCTAAGCGTTATTCTTAGATACAACAAAGGTAGACGAATTTTTGAAAAGGCCGCATACCTCCAATACCTTTCTTCGCCGCAAGACATTTTTAAAACCCTCCATGTCATGTGTATAAGTGCTTCAAAAAAGAATCAAAAATATATTGCTGAATAAAAATGAAAGAAAAAACAATGCAAACCTCTTGGGTATCAAAACATCTCTATATTTGTCTTCAACTCATGGCTTTTTGTAATTTTTCTCATTTCATTTCATCAATCGTAATTCTAAATAACAGAAGACTTGAGACCAAATTTTATAAATAGTAAGAGGAGGTTGAACCAGGTTTGGTTTGATTACTTCTTAATGGTTAGCCCTAGGCCTCACCTAAGAAGTAGTTGAATTTTCTGTAATTAGTTAAACTACTCTATTTAGGCAACGTCAAGCAGTGATGATGTTGGGATTACTGGTTCTGCCTATGTTTCCAATATTAACCCTCATTGTCCAGGTAAAATTAGTTTATTAGAAAATTAGACACAAAAATTGATTTCTGTGGGCCTTAACATGACCCCAGGGAAGGGTTATGGATGGTAAAATTTAAAAAAAAATTTGCCCTTAAAATTTTTGATGTTCAAATCCTCGAAAAAAAAATGAAAATCCATGATTTTTTTTGTTATTGTTCATAATTTAAGAATCAACAATACCGCATGTAAATAACAAGTATTTTATATTTATTATAGAGCTTGTAACAAAAATGACACTTTAGCCTTTTATTAAAATAAAATTAACGTTTATTGCTGAATAGTGTCTTCAAATGAATAATCAAATGTTAGCAAAATGGTTTCTAAAAACATTAAAAATTGTACTGTAAATACCAAACCGACTTTTAAGCAGCCAGAGCTGGGAACTTTTGTTATGGAAACCTATAATCCCGATCTCTTGATCTAGATATGCTCTGCGAAATGAATCATCTTCTTCTTGTCAGATTATTATAATTGAATTGTTATAATTACTAAATTTCCTTGAGTATGATGCCCATGATGTCCGATAGATGTTTTAAAATTCTGGCAGCAAATAAAATTTCATATTTTAGAACGCGCACACCTTGAGTTCCTTGGTGAACTTGAAGACGGATATGCTTCTCACTGAGCTGGTAGTGAAGGAGGGAGATGAGGTAAACATATATTTTGACAAGAAACCACTAAATGCGCCAAACCGTGTATTGCAGTGGGAGGAGATCAAAACTAAATTCCGGGGTCAACATTCTTAAAGCTTTTGTCAAACCCTTTCACGATCTTTCACCAGTTGGGGGAGCTCTGAGTTTGCTGTTAGTTTTCATTGCTCCAGATAGTACTGCAAAACTTGCGTAAATGTGAGTAAGAGTTTCCTATTGGAGTTCCTTGGGCTTAACAAAGTTTTTTTGCAAAAAGACAAACCTTATTCTGTGGCATAAAACGCGTTGGGTCAATATACAGGGTACACTGGACGGGCTGGTACAGATTGCTGTGTGTATCTCTCAAAATAAGCATGTATAGCATAGAGCTGTGTGTTCAGATTGCCGCATGTATGTATATCTTTAAAGGAATCTGTGCTCAGTTTGCCGCGTGTATATCTCTAAAAAACCTTTGTGTTCAGACTACCCTGTGTATTTTTGAAATAAGCTTGTGTTCAGAATTCCGCATATATCTTCAGTGTTCAGATTGCTGTATGTGTCTACATTTGAGCAGATTGCTGTTTGCATATCTCTAAAATAAACATGTGTTTAAATTGCCGCGTGTATATTTCTAAAAAAAACATGTGTTCAGATTGCCGCGTGTATATCTCTAAAAACCATGTGTTCAGATTGCCGCGTGTATATCACGGTTACAGGAGGAAAGATCTATGGTTGCTTACTACCTATCAGCTGATCGAAATAAAACGCAAAAAGATATTCTTCGCAATGGACTCCAGGTTAGAAAATACTAGAGTTTAAGATTCGTCTTAATATTTCTGGCTTTCGCTGTAGCTATAAACAAAGTTTTAAGACACTTTCAAGTTTTTCTCTGAGATATTTGCCAGACAAACATTTCTCTGTATGATAATCTAGGGACTGCAGCATAATTTTGGTGGATTTCATTGTAGTACTATTCCTAGAAGGGAGTGTGAAATTTTTTTTAATATGTTCTGATAGGGAAATCTTCGTCTTTCTAAATACAGTGATGACTGTAGACGTGGAAGACGACATTAAAACTAAAGTGCATTTGATGATGCATTAAAGCAAACATCTTTACTAGTAAGTTTCTGAATCACTTCGTAATTCAAATGGGTTTTGTTTACACTGCACAGCTGCTGTGTCTCATGATCAGCGAACTCTTTAAAGTCATAACTTGAGTTAAAAAGTCGTCTTTCTATTGCAGAGTTTTCTGGTTATCACTGTATCCGCGGGGAAAGACTCAAAATAGGTTCTTTAAAGAAAATATTGTACAGGAAAAGTTTGCTGAAACCGATCGGGCAATCGTTGACATCTCTAATTGGGAACAGGATAAGGAAGGAAGAACAACGGTTAGAGATTTTGGGTCAAAAATTAACATTTTTTGTTGATAATTTTATTAAAATTGATTTTTTTAAAGAGAATAAACTGAAAATTACGGATTTCAAACTTAATACATATTAATTTTATCATTACCTTTAAAGGGTTGGAAAACGTTCTAATGATCTTAAAACTTAGGCCTCAGCATGAAAACTTTAATTCCGCCGGAGGAAGGCTTTTTTTCTCCTTTTTTTGAACACTTGCTTCTGTTACATAGAGGGTCAAAACTCAAAATATTAAAATTATGCCTGTTCTAAAATTGATGTAGAAAATGTGCGAGTGTATATTATTATTGTTTTATAAAAAACAATTAGTTAAAAAATTTAAAATTTCTGAAGGTATCAGATCGATAAGCGATATTAATACTGATAAAATTCCATAAAGGAATTGAGTCTTTGCCACAAACTATGATTTCCTAATCCCTATTTCTTTGCAACCCAATGTCGAAAAGACATTAGATATTTCAAACATTCCATTTTGTTCATTCAAATAATTTAAGTTTAAAATATCAAGGGTTTTCACAATCAGCTTGCAAAGATATAGTGATCGAAAAATCAGAGTTTGTGGCAAAAACTTGTAATGTACTTTCAGCCTGTATGATTTTCGTAGTATTTAAATACACGTTTTTACAAACTCAATTCCTTTGATCAGTGTTAGAGGGGACAGTACAATCTGCACATTGTACTGTTATCTTAGCTCCTCAATTCACTACTAGAAGAAGAGCTTCCCCTTAGCTCTATCACAAAATTAAAAAGAAACAAAAACTAAAAAAATGTTATCTCAGTATTTGCAAATATCAGTCAAATTATTTCAGGTCAGTTTCATTTTGGACCTCATGGCCACATTTTCGTTTCGAACATGTTTTTAATGTTATGTTTGTTTAATCCTCTATTCCTGGCTGGCCGTAGTTTGATCAGCAGTTCAGCAGTAAGATAAAGTTCCAGATAAGATTGGAAGATTTTCGAACCCTGGTGTTGAAATCGGGAAACTCATCGGTAGATAGTGCAGAGGGGAAAACTGTTTCAAAAAGATCAATTACAACAGTTTTAGAGGTAATTTCTTAATTCAGGTAATTATTACAATTGTTTTTTTACGGGGACCTAATGTCACCCTTTAAGAGAGGCCTGATTCCCACTGGCACCCTTTTACCCTATAATCTAAAATGATAATGTGGTGAGAGGCGTTTTTATAGCATAACAAGTGAATGATTTTTTATTTGTTTGCAAGAGATAAAACAAAACATGTATATCTAATTCATTTTTGATCAGAGAAAACTTTTAAGGGCACCGTCGTAAATCGGACATGCCATTTTAAGGGAGGGAGGGAGGGGGGGGGGGGTACTTGAAATGACTTTATCAGCTGTCTGCACTCTGTACAGACTCTTCAAGTAAATTTTCACGGAAAAAAACCTTTAGGTTATGGATAAGTACAATGCCGCAAACTATGTTCTGCTAAATCAGCTTTCTTCTAAAGTGAGCAATGTTCCTGCTAAACAGGTAGAAATCTGCTAAAGTGAGCTATGTTCCTGCTAAACAGGTAGAAATCTTCTAAAGTGAGCAAGCAATGTTCCTGCTAAACAGGTAGAAATCTTCTAAATTGAGCAATGTTCCTGCTAAACAGGTAGAAATCCTCTAAAGTGAGCAATGTTCCTGCTAAACAGGTAGAAATCTTCTAAAGTGAGCTATGTTCCTGCTAAACAGGTAGAAATCTTCTAAAGTGAGCAATGTTCCTGCTAAACAGGTAGAAATCTTCTAAAGTGAGCAATGTTCCTGCTAAACAGGTAGAAATCTTCTAAAGCGAGCAATATTCCTGCTAAACAGGTAGAAATTTTCTAAATTGAGCAATGTTCCTGCTAAACAGGTAGAAATCTTCTAAAGTGAGCAATTTTCCTGCTAAACAGGTAGAAATCTTCTAAAAACATGGAACAGAGATGGAATTTAAAGAATTTGAGCCGCGGTTTAAATCCGCCAAAACCCGGTTTAAATTAAGCGCCGGCTTAAATCTTGAAACATTTGATACAATTTTAAGTTTAACCAACCATATTTAAACCGCGGCTTAAATTTAAACCGCCGCTCAAATTCTTTAGATTCGGCCACTGGAGACTTAACGCAATCAATAATTTTCTAATCCTTCTATCTTTGAAACCTGATCTTGCAGAGCTTTTATAGCACAAAGTAATGATGTTGAAAGATTAGGTATATAGTTAACTATTGAAATTATAAAGATTTACACCATCAGTATCCAAAGATATTGGAATAAGAAGATTATAATTAGTGGAAAGTGTTATTTTCTTTTGTAGCGAGCATTTTTTATAGCCTTCAAATATATAATTGCGTTTTTTTCAAATATATTTTCATTGGTTTTTCGTGTTCAACATGTAAAAATTGCTGGAGACAGTTTTACTTTTCAAAAACTCCGATAGAATCTGGATTATTAACAATAATTACCCGTAGCTCTCTTTATCCGGGAGGACTACTGCACATGAGGACTTTACCGGCTGGATAAAAAATAGTATTTCTCTGTTTAGCTATAATTTGTTAGAATCTCAGAATACTTTTCAAAATCAAGAACGAAAACTTTGACAGGAATTGCTTTGTATCACATGGAGATTAACAACTTTTGTAGTGTTAAAGGGACTGTAAAGGAAAAATGAAAGGGGGTATAGGCTGAAAGCTAATCACTTTAACTCTCGATCGCGACCCATGAAAGTTATATCTGATGTTCCTATCTCGAGAAATTGATATACAACTTTGTCAAATTTATACGAAAATTAATATATATACAATTGTGTATAAAAGTAGTGGGTTTAAAAAGATCAAATTCAGCAAATAAGCAACCAATCTGAAAACGATGATATCCCAGAGAAAGCCAATTATAACTTAGGTTTACTCCAATTCTAATTTTATATTTGTTATTTCTATTTTTTATAGATTTAATTTATAATATTATTTATACGTCCGTATTGCTTGACCAGAAATTCCACCAATGGCAGTGCAGTAAAGTGGTCACATGATACAGGCGGAGACACTTGACCAGTATACTACTCTGCCATTGGTTATAGTTCTGGTCACGTGATTTAAGTTTAAGATTTTCTAAATTTTACATATATGAACTTTCGTATAATTTTAACACAGTTTTATATCAATTTCTCGAGACAGGAACATCAGATAAAACTTTCATGGGTCACGATCAAGAGCTAAAGTGATTAGCTTTCAGACTATACCCCCTTTCAGTTTTCCTTTACAGTCCCTTTAAATCCAGATTTGAAATTTATATTTGAATAATTGTTCTTGGCTTATTTTAGATCTGGAAATTCCTGGTTTCCTATGAGAATCTGGTTCGAGCAACAGAGCATATTGGAATAGAAACAGTCCAGGTAAATTTTAAAAATAGTTTTCATGTATTATATTTGTATCACGAGGGGATTTAATTTTCATTGATTTCAATTTTTCTGAGAGTAAATGATAATTCTTTCTTATGTATATATATATAAATAGAACATATTCTATTGTTTATTAAGAATATTATTATTTATATATATATATAATAAATGTATTATTCAATCAAAAAACAGATTTAAAACCTCATATACGTGGATCAAGGGAAATATGGATAAAGGAACAAATGGACCAAGGGATATATAGATCAAGGGATTTATGAATCACTGCATATAAGAATCAAGGGATATATGAATCAATATGCATATACGGATCAAGGGATATATAGATCAAGGGATATACGGATCAAGGGAAATATGGATCTAGGGATATATGGATCAATATGCATATATGGATCAAGGGATATATAGATCAAGGGATACACGGATCAAGGGAAATATGGATCTAGGAATATATGAATCAATGCATATATGGATCAAGGGATATATAGATCAAGGGATATATAGATCAAGGGATATACGGATCAAGGGAAATATGGATCTAGGGATATATGAATCAATGCATATATGGATCAAGGGATATATAGATCAATGTATATATGGATCAAGGGATATATGGATCAAGGGATATATGGATCTAAGGATACATGAATCAATGCATATATGGATCAAGGGAACATGTTCTTATTATTTTAAGAAGATATTTATATATTTATGTGTTAGCTGTAGCTGGCCAAACGGCTGGACCAAATTGGCTTAAGTTTTTTGATGGAACCCAAGGGTACCCTGTAAGTACACAGCACACTGCCCAGGGAGCAATTTCGAAAAAGTTTTAACGACCACTTCTGTACTTCATTCTTTTAGACGATTGAAACGCATAGAAATAAAGTAGCACTGGTATCTGAAAAAAAGAAAACTTTGAGGAATCATAAATCATAAATCATAAAAAAAGTTCTTGAGTCTATTTCTGTTTATATTTTTCAAAACCCTATTTTACAGTTTTGTGGGAAAAAAATAAATTGAAAAAATTTATGGTTTGAGTGACCTATTAATGCTGGATTTTTGACTTCATAAAAATCCATGATGTTTTAGCATGATAGCATTTATGAAATCATTAAGCTATTTAACCACTTTACATTTCTATTGGTTTCCGATTCCAGGATTTTTTAGCATGATACCAGCTTATGAAAATATCAAGCTATTTAACCACTATACATTTCTGTTGGTTTCCAATTCCAGGATATTTTAGCATGATACTAGCTTATGAGAATATCAAGCTATTTAATCACTGTACATTTCTGTTGGTTTCCAATTCCAGGATATTTTAGCATGATACCAGCTTATGATATCATTAAGGTATTTAATCACACATTTCTGTTGGTTTTCATTTCAGTGAATCAAAGAAGGTGTGAAAAAGTATATTTTTTTTATCTACTCATTTTAAGATCAGAAATGTTTCAATTTCAATTTTTCAAATTCAAACCAACCAATGTAGAAAAAATACAAGAGGGAATTTTTTTCTTCTAAATTTCTTTACCAAAACTAAAAATAATTATTAAATACCAGATCATAATAACATTTTTCTCCGATATATTGGGAAATATATTAAAAACCAGATATTTCAAGCTTTTTTGGTTCAAGACAACCCCCCTACAGGATCCTTATTTACGCCTCTGGTTCAAGATTCCACAGTTTTCTATACATTGATATCTTCATAAATCTATCTGTCGCAACTCATTCTTACATTTGAAACTCATATTCATAATTGCAGCAAAGTTTTCTTCAATGCATTGGACCTACACATTCCTTATGGCGTTTTCTGCATTTATATATACTAGGCTTCTAGGGCGCTTCGCGCCCCTCTTCTATTTAAGTTGTGAACATGTTCTTTTTGTTTACATTTTAAAACAAAGAAGAAAAAAATTTCGCGGATTTAAAAAAAAAAATCGCTGAATTTTAAGAATTTAAATTTTTTTACAAAATCAAAAACCTTTAAAACACATTTTTATTTTATTTTTATCATTCGTAAACCTTCCCTGTGGTCACGTGATGCCCCACAAAAAAATTGGGCCCGATCGGTTCAGCCGTTTTGACGTTTATTGGATACAAACAAACAAACAGACAGACAAGCCAAATTTATATATAGATGCTATAGAATTAACTTATAGCTGTATCCATCCATCTAGGATGCCTAGTTCATTAGCGCCTGATCCAATCAGGGTTCAGCCATGTGTTTTGGTGTCTATTCTGAACCAATAGAAATTGCATGGCGGTAACATCTATCTTTCTATCTATCTCATTGTCCAATTAGAGATAAATCCTTATATCGGCACTATAACAGTAAATGGAAAATTACTTCTACTGAAGCTATAGTGAGAACCTTCCGAGCCTGTGCATGTGTATTTAAATGTCGAGCTCTTATTGGCTGAGCTTTTTCTTTGGATTGACCCTTAGGCTTACCACACTTTCAACAATTCCGAAATTTGCAAATATCATTTCACGGACTCAATGATTCCCAGAACTTCCCTGATTTAAAATTTGCACGCCAATGTAAGTTTTTTCTATTTTTTTGCGTCGTTGCCCGCATTGTTTTATTTATTGAATAGTCTACTATTTAAATAGAAATTTCCTAATTTCTTTAAACAACCTTTATGATTACATGCTTTAGTTTTTCTTTAAATTCTGCTTATTACCTCTGGTATCGTGTCTCCGATCCACTTTTAACAAGACCTGTGATTCTGCATGATGCGTTCCCTCTGACTTCATCGAAATCCTTTTCAACAATTTTTGTTCTTGTAACTTTTAAGTGAAACTCATACTATCACAATTATACCGTACTATTTATTCTTTCATCTATTTTTTTGACTCCCTTTATAAAAAAATTCATTGGTTTTAAAATTCTTCATTTTAGCCGTACCTAACTGAGGGGGAGGGGGGGGGGGATAAACACAATAAAGTGTCTCAAAGTTACAACAATTTAACTATAGAACATGTAAATAGTCAGAGCTTGGAACTCGAATAATCCCGGTTCTTGATCTCGATATGCATTGTGAGTATTTTTGCTTTAAGAATTAATACTAAATCTATTGATTTCAGTTATTCTGCAGATTAACAAAAGATCAAGACCAAGCATTAATCTCGATATTTATTAAACCCTGTTCGGGAAACTAATCTATGATTTTTTTTGGAATTTGATCTAAAAAATGTGGAATCTGATCTAAAATATTTTTTCTTCAAATTTGAGCTCCATGTTCATTTTTATTTTTATATATTTGTCAAGTGAAGATTTTTATAAAATTTCTTCTGCCAAAGTTGTGATTTTGATCTAAGATATGTGTAATTTGATCTAAAATATGTTGAACGTTATCTAAAATTTTTTTTTTGAAAAAATTTATATTTCAGATAACCATTATGCTTCAAATCCTTAACTTTATTTGCTTAAAATATGGAATTTAATCTAAAAAGTGTTTACTTAGATCTAAAAAATGTAGACTTTATTCTAAAATTTTATAATTTGATTAAAAATATTAGATTTAAAAGTAAAGAAATGTGTAAGGTTGACACCTTAATGGTGAAAGAGTTGGGTTCATGGGTTCAGGATCTTCATACTTTAGATCTAATTATACATTTTTTAGATCGAATTCTTCATATTTTAGATCAGATTATATATTTTTTAGATCGAATTCTTCATATTTTAGATCAGATTATACATTTTTTAGACCTAATTCTACTATTTTTAAATACAGATTTCTGTACTTCCAATATAATTTTTGCACAAAATTTGGGAATTTTATCTGTAATATATAGAATTGGATCTAAAATATTTGTTTTCAAAAATAAACATTTTTAAATGACATTTTTGACTCAAAATACATAAAATCCAAATTTTAGATCAAAATCCACAATTTTCTCGAAAGAAGTGGAATTTGGTCTAAAATTTTTTTTAGATCCAAGTCCACTTAGATTAGATTCTTTTAGATCAGATTGCCTTCAGATCAAAAGGATTATAGATCGATTTCCTATGCACCATGACTGCCTGCTAGAAAAGTACATTAAAATTTTTTATGATATCGTCGTCGGTTCTAAAAAAAATGTTCAATGTCAATCCACTAACATTGCCACCATTACACAAAAACGAACATTGATTGTTTACTATTGTAATATATTTCTGCGTCAAGAATCGATTAAAGGCACCAAGATATATTTAAAATTGACTGATTCCCATGGTTTCACTGTTTCGTTATGCGAAATTAAGATTTTTCGATCCAGCAGTATTTTACGCGGGAATTCGAATAGCCCGAGTTTGATTCGATCATCTTTTCTAATAAATTTTTCTGTCGGTTTCATCATTCTCGTAAATATGCTAATTAGAGAAATTGTCCAAACAACGAAGTCAAAATTGCTTCCGATTTTTTTTCAAAGTTCGATTTTTTAAAGTTTTTAAAAATTCTACGGGCAAACCCGGGCACTTCAGCTGGTTATACATTAAAACAGTTTTTTTTTTTATTTATCTAGGGAGTGAGTTTTTACTCTAGAGGGGATTTATCAGATATTGGAGTCAAATTATTCATACAATCTCATAAACTAGCTGAGGACTACCTGGAACAAACAAAGGTACCCCCTCCTCCTCTCCTTTTCCCCTCTTTTCACCCTCTCTTCCCTCCCTCCCCTTCTTTTTCCCTGTTTCCCTCTTTTTCCTCTCTCTTCCCTCCTTTTCTCCTCTTTTACTCCTTCTCTACCCTCCCTCCCTCCCCTTATTTACCTATCTCTTCCCTTCCCTCTCCGTATTTCCATTGCTCAAAAGTATTTCTGATTTAAAAAGGATGGTTTAGCATCTCTCTCTCTCTAAGGAAATTAAATTAAGCACACAACTATATCTTGAAAAAGTTTTTAAGTGTTGAATTTTTAGATATTTGTCCCTGAAATGGTTGAATACTTAAGCGTTGCACAGTCACAGGAAGATTTCCTAGTGTATTCTGCATTAAAAGTAATTTTTCAAAATTTTATACATTTTTAAAATTATTTTTGAAACATTTTTAAAATTTGGTCCGGGTGCACGTGATTACCCTTTTTTATATTGTTACAGGACGATTATTTCCAGGCAGTAAATGGTAGCTTGGTAAGTACTACTACTAAGAAAAACCAAGAAGAGGTAGCTATTCGTTTATACAGGTTTAAATATCTACATGTACAGAGGGACCCGTAAAACTGTGGAATAGGAAGCCGACATGCGTATTTGATGTTGTTATAAAGCAAATATTTTTACCAGTGATAATTACTTCATAAATGGGCTTGTGTACAGTGCACAATGGAAATGACATTTAAAATCAAAACTTGGGTCCGGCAGTCGTCTGCCTGTTCCTCAGTTCAATGGGTATACATACTGTTTACATGTTTTTCTTACATTCATGTTAAAGCCTGAAATCACTTTCTTTCTGGGTTCAATGTTAATAGGAATTTGAAAATTTATGAAAAAAGATTTTACACTTATCTACATTTTCGCTCTATTAATTAAATAAAATAAAATATTTTTAAGTTGAGCTGACTTTCCAAATTTCACACATTGTCCCTGTTTTTAGAACTTTGGTCTCCTGATAACTGGAGACAACTATTACAAGAGCGCAACATCATACACTAGGAAAATACAGGTAAATTCACTTTCAAGGGGAATGTTTATATATTTGAGTACTTTGGAGGGTATCAATTTTTTAATGTAGGGTTTTAGTCCTTACTTGAATATTTTTTGAATAAAAAAGTAGATTTTTTATTCAAATTTGTTCTAAAAATTCCTAAAATCCAAATTCGTTTCCAAATAACATGTACAAACTTAATCCTAAGGTACGTTGGATTTAGGATCGTTTCGAACTATAGATCCCGATCTACGATCAATTACATACACTGCTATGGTCGGCAGCTCACGGCTTATCATGGCTCATGGCTCACATCCAATAATTTCATTTTAACTTGTTATTTCTAAGACTCTTTTTTTTTACTCCTAAGATGATCATCCAAGGTACGTTTATAAGTTTCATACAGAATTCATATGGAATAATAATTAATATAAATAAAAAAAATTGTGGAAGACGATACCTGGCCGCCTAAAACAAGTTCCACAAGATTCACCGGAATGAGATAGAACGGATACGAGGCATTGTACTTTCAACTAACACGTGTGATCTAGATATTAACACATTTCTGAACCCTCTAGTAAAAGTTATAAGAAATATATATACTGGAAGTTACTTCATGCGTTTCATTAGAGATCGAGCTCACGTCCACTATAAAATATTAACATTAAAATAATAAATTAAACTAACTTTTTTTATTAAAATTAAATGTGAAATGAGCAAGTGCTATATCATGAAACTATATTTTTTATCAGAAGATGAAACAATATATCATGACTACTAGTTCAAACATGTTAATATTCTAATGGCTAATTTTGTTAAGGCTATTATTGAGAGGGTTCGAGGACTGATAAATAAATCTGTACAGGACGAACTTTACGCAGCAGATAAACAACAGGAGCATTATCTTCAACTTTCAAACCTTTCTTATTCATTTCTTAATTGTTTAACGGATATTTTAAAATTGTTTTATTTTGTTAAATTATCATTATATTTCAAAATCAATGTTTATTTATTAAGGAAATTATTGTCTAGTTTGGAACTTTTTGTTCGCATCATCGAGTTATATACAGGGTGCCCTAATAAACATGGGAATTCAGTGACGAATTCGATATTGTTATGAATGAGCAATGTAATGCCTAATTTCAAAAGCCATAATATTATTATTATGTCTGCTAGAGTTTATTTTATGAAAAAGGTAAGTGGCTGTAAAGATGTGTCTATAATGTCTCCGCAAGATGAACAGTGAAGACGGACAAGTTTAGTATGTTTGTATACTGTAATTTTCTTGTTTTACTAATGCAGGGCTGTCAAAACATAAATAAACAAATTGTAAACACAGCAGACGAAAATCCTAAGGATTACAGCTTTCTCAGTAGGTATCACTATACTAAATCAAAGAATTATTTGAAAAGACGATATCGAATTCGTCACTGAATTCCCATGTTTATTGGGACGCCCTGTACCAAAATTATGAATATTTTGTTAAAATTTGAAGCATGTTAGGAATGGCTTACAAATTTTCAGCTGTATATAACTCAGTGTTTAAAAAAGTTGTCAAAGGAATTATTTTTAATTTTGATTAAAAAAAATATAAGGATGTTCTTAGATTATAAAAAATTAGTATATTTTCAGAACAGTGTAGAATAGTTTTATTAAGAATTAACCACAAAGGATGAGACTTCAGAGACGACTGTACTGAATTTAGTCAATCTTCTTCTTTAAACTCATGTTTCCCACAGCTGTAATCTGGTTGTTTTCTTTGTATAATTATTAAAAACTTTATTTGAACCACAAGTTTATTAAATTGTTAGATTTATAGAGCATTAATGTCTCATCCTTTATAGGTATCCCTGTAGTAAGTTGAATGCATATTTGCGCAGGCTATAGGTATTCTGAGTTTAGTAGTGGTTCTTGTTATTTCTCCTTTCATCATACTTCTCTCCAGGTTTATGAAAAAAACATAAAAAAAACAAAATAATCCAATTGTACTTAACGTTGAGCTTTAGGTTAAAATAGTTTTTATATTCGGTAAATTCTTCCTGACCGATAATGTTTGTTTTTAAGTAAGATTGTTGTCGCTAAGGAACAAGATTCTGACGATGAACAGATAGACAAGGAATAACCCTCAAATCAAAATCGATAATGCAGAAAACTCTTTATTTCCTAAAAAAAATGAAATGAATAATGATAAATAATTATTACAAGGGTTTACAAATTTATAATGAAAAGATTCTTACGATCTATTTGCTTATTTGTGGGTTAACTGTCGAAAAGTCCTAAGACGCTTTTTATACAAAGCTTTTAGGTTGAAGACGACATTACATGGAGGGGGGGGGGTCTTAATGTTAATGGTTGACAAAGATATGTAGTTTCACTAGAAAAAGATAAGTTGATATAAAATTAACTATAAAAAATTATCGATATCTACGAAATGCATCAACCCATTCACGAAACAAAGTTATACCGGGCCGATTTTTTAACGAAATGTACATATTTAAGAAAATCATTTTCCCACGCTCTTGAATTTTTGTTATTCCATGCATTGGGGAAGATAATTAAAAAGTAAAAATTAAAAGTATAAAAATGGATAAAATGTTTGAAAATATATTCATATTTCAATTTTCTTTTCTTTTGATTCTTTTTAAGTTTTGTGAGGGGGAGGGCAGTTGGGGGCGGGGGGCTTCGTAAAATTAGCTTCTAGCTAATTCAACTGTTCTTCTGTAGTTTAAAAAAATATTCTTATTGCAGAAAATACATGATTTATTTGATTTTCTTTTTTAGAAAATACGAAAAATTTTCATTTAATGGAAGAAAATTGGATAAGATTTGAATTTTAACCTATTCCAATTTTTTCGTCTATCGTTCTTTAAGGAGGAAAATATGAGGAAAATGAGAAAAATATGAGGAAAATGGAGAAAATGAGGAAAATATGAGGAAAATGAGGAATATGTGAGGAAAATATTAGGAAAATATGAGGAAAATGATTAAAATTTGAGGAAAATATGGAAAAATATGAGGAAAATAAAGAAAATATGAAGAAAGTGTGGAAAACATGAGGAATAAAGTAGGAAAATGAGGCAAATATGAGAAAAATATGAGGAAAATGAGGAACACATGAGGAAAAAAATTAGGAAAATGAGGAAAATATGAGAAAAATATAACAAAATAATTTTCAGGAATGCAATCCAGAGTGTTCAGATTTTTAACAGGAGTGTTAAAAAAAAGGAAATGTTTAAAGATGTATTTTTATTTTATTTTATTTTTTAATTTTATTTTATTTATTTATTTATTTTATAACATCCAAGGATATTTTTTATTCAGAGAAATTGAAATATTAAACTTACAGTTATCTGCCACAAAGATAAATTAAATCAAATCATTAATATTTCTATAAAGTCGGATGAACTAAGAGCTGAGAGAAAGAGAACTGATAAACTACTATACAAGATGCTTCCATCCATAGTAGCTGATGGATTAAGGTAAAACTGATAAACTACTATACAAGATGCTTCCATCCATAGTAGCTAATGGATTGAGGTTTAACTGATAAACCACTATACAAGATGCTTCCATCCATAGTAGCTAATGGATTAAGGTTTAACTGATAAACTACTAAACAAAATATCCTTTGGCTTACAATCAATCTGAGAACTCCCTTCGTAATCGTATTGTAGTTTATGGAACATTTTCAACATTATATAAACATATTTTTCAATATTTTCTTTATTTTTTCTTTTGTCATCCAAAACTCTATATTCAATAATCCATGAAAAAATTCATTATTCTAAGAATAAACTATTTACGCATAAATGTTTTTATTAGAAGTGGGAAAAGTACTACAGAAACCTTTCAATCTGCAACGGTGGCATTCATCAAAATTGACGGATTCTCAGATTTTTCCAAGGAAACAAAAATCAAACTTTTAACAAAAATTAAACTTAAAATTTTAGAGCAGATGTAAACTTTCCCATCAAACTTTATTTTGCCAGATTATAGATAAGATGTGAGATACTTTTCATGAGAATTTTTTCCAATTGGATTTTTATGAAGGGACAACTCCCCATTTTCCCAAGTAGGAATTTCTCAAAAGGCAGTTTCCAAAATCATTCCTAATCCTAACCCATCCTAACCCGACCTAGCCTAAAGTACCAGAAACGACTGAAAGTTTTTCTTTTTACAGAAGCTGACGCGGCAAAATATCAAATTTCTCGGCATATGTGAGTTGAAAATTTTTCTTTCTTAAAAAAATTAATGGAGAAATTATTTAAAGTTAACAGGTATCGAGTCAGAAAAACGGCGTTATTTTCCACATTCTTTACAAGATTATAAGCTTTTATGGATATACTGTTGTAAATCTGGCATTATCGTCATTGCGTAGACGGTAACTTAAAATTACGCTTACAGTCTCTTTAAACAAAACTTTTTGAATTAAAAGCTCGGTTTTGTTCCAGTTCCACTCTCCTCTGGACGTGATGAACATCTTAAATCTGATCTACAGCAAGTTTGACAGCAGGGTGGATATGTTCAACGTGTACAAGGTGGAGACCATCAATGACAGTTACATGGTGGCCTCGGGGTTACCAGAGAAGAACGACATACATGCGAGGTAACATCTTAATCGTAAACCACAGTGTCCCAGGGTCAATTTGAATTCGAACCGGACCGACTGCATAGTTGACACGCGGCAGGTATCCAGCCTGGCCTTATCCTATGCCGGCTCAGATTCAACTTTGAGGGGGCGGCCAGACTTTTTACACTACACGGCCTATCATAGGCCAATTTGATCTAGCTTAGTTTAGCTTGAAACACAGGTTAATCCGAAGTACCGAGCCGACCTCTGGTGAACTTTTTTACATTAAAAGATCCCGAATATAGTAGACAAAACAGTACAGTACATAATATAGTAGACAAAACAGTACAGTACATAATATAGTAGACACAACAGTACAGTACATAATATAGTAGACAAAACAGCACAGTACATAATATAGTAGACAAAACAGTACAGTACATAATATAGTAGACAAAACAGTACAGTACATTGAACGAATCATCCTCTTCCATCAAACGGCATTTTTAAACTTTACAATAGTTTTGAGTTGTAGAGTGAGTCGGGCTTCTGCAGTTTGGGGAACCTTCTTCCGGGGTTTTAATGTATAAACAAGTCAGAGATTGAATGAACAAAATGGATTCAATCTCTCTTAAAAGTTGTCTTCAAAGAATAAGATATTAAAAATTTCTAACGCTTCTGCAAAATGTGATGTGACCCAAGAACGGACAAAATAATTTGAAATTGACCGAAACATGAATTTCAAAAACCTCTTTTTATTCGTGATTTATGACTCAAAAAAAATGAAAAAAATGATCTAGACATTCTGGATATTAATAAGAATCCTACTTTGTCCTCCATTGACTAATACTTTTAATCCAGTGAAATATCTGCACTCTGCCTGGATATCTCCAGAACTTGTGAAAATATGAAAATACCTAGATCTGAATTAGTTATCAGGTAGAAACATTAATCAAATCTTTAAAATCCAGACTAAAATTGAAAAATTTGTGAATTTTTGATGAACACTATTTATTTCAGGGTCAAAGATTTGAGCTAAATTTTGAAGTATTAATTTTGATAAATTTGCGGAAAAATTGCGAGATTTTTTCAAAATAGAAAACAAAACCAAAAAACAAAATGATCAAGCTAAACCAAACAATTGTCCGTTTATTACTATTAGAGAACTTTTTTCCAAAATCGTCAAATTTGTCTACGAAAAGTAATTTGAATTGCAACTTTGTTCGAGTTTTGCAAATATTTCTTAATTATTATTTGTATAGGATTAGTGCTGGAATACATACTGGTGGTGTTGTAGCGGGTATAGTAGGGAGCAAGATGCCAAGGTAAATTCTACTCTACTTAATGTAGCGGGTATAGTAGGAAGCAAGATACCGAGGTATATTCTACTCTACGATGTGGCGGGTAAAGTAGGAAGCAAGATACCAAGGTAAATTCTACTCTACGATGTGGCGAGTATAGTAGGGAGCAAGATACCAAGGTAAATTCTACTCTACGATGTGGCGGGTATAGTAGGGAGCAAGATACCAAGGTAAATTCTACTCTACGATGTGTCGGGTATAGTAGGAAGCAAGATGACAAGGTAAATTCTACTCTACGATGTGTCGGGTAGTGAAGGAAGCAAGATGCCAAGGTAAATTCTACTCTACGATGTGTCGGGTAAAGTAGGAAGCAAAACACCAAGGTAAATTCTACTCTACGAAACTGTAGAATGACAATAAGCTCTTCCTTGGAAGAAGGCTTTTTCTATGCGTATCATTATGATATAGCTTAACCCAGGGTGTCAGATTAGATCGTGTATAGTTAAAAATTGTGATTTAGGTACTAATAAATTTGTTTTTAAATGAATCATTTTTTTTAAAATGCAAAAGGTTTCTAAAAAAGATTTCTTGCAGAAAATTCTTTGTTCTTCGAGTATTATATGCGTATTTTCGCGTTAAAGTTTGGAGATAATCTAATATGATATTGGACACTCTGTACCTAATTTATTTTTATTTTTAAAAATAATTAAATAAAAGACGATATTTCTAATTTTTTCTGATATCTCCGAAGTTTTGGTTAAATTTAGGATAGTTTGAAACAAAAATAGCGAAGATAATCTTTTATCACTATTTTTTGAACCATAGGTTGACCCAGGAGTATAAAGGCGGGTATAAAGTTATTACTAATTATACGCTATTCTGTTCGGTTGAATTTATACGATATATGCTGATTGGTTAAGTTTGCGATTGCGGAATAATAGGACAGAGTGCCTGGTAAAAGAAGAACTAAGTGAACCTCAATTTGTGTTCTAAACTTCTAATACAAATTTTAACAAAGCTTTCAAAATATTCTTTGATACTTATTTCGATTATATTGTTCCGAATTCTTCTGTTTGGTTTAGGAAGCTTTAAATTAAGATAAAAAATTAATTAAAATATAATTTTGTCATCTAACTGGGTAAAGCGTATTGAAGAAAGATTAAAGAGGATAAGTAACAAATGAGTACAGTGGTAGGCGATTATATCAATACAACGAAGACGACTTTCGATTTCAATTTTGATTTGTATCAAGCGGTTGAACAGTATGGATATACAAAAGCATTTAAGTCAAAAGAAGCTGTCGATTAAAATAAACTTCCCTTTGATTACTTGTAAACTTTTATTTCAGAAAAGCTTGTAAACAATCAAAACTTAAATAAAAAAGTATAATCGGTAAAAAGGAAAACTTGAAGAGAATGAATAAACAAAAAAAATCTATTTATAAAAAAAAGATAAGTGGGTACGTGTAAATATGATATTAGTAAAAAGATTTAAAGAAACTACGTAGGGACCAAATTGAACCAATTCACTTGAATTTGAACCCGGTGCAAAAGAATTTTAGATCGAAAAGTTAAAGTAAAAAAGCATATGGGGACCCGAAGCTTGGGGATTAGTAAAAAATAAAAAATAAAAATGTTTAAAACAAATTTAAATATGAACATAAAAAGTAAAATTTTTAAATTAAATAATTTTTTAAAATTTCAATATTGTGTTAAACTTAATTGTACTGCAGATACTGTTAAACCTTATTGTACTGCAGTCCCTTTAACCTTAATTGTGCTGCATTTCCTTTAAACTTAATTGTACTGCAGATACTGTTTGTTTGGGGACACAGTAAACACTGCCTCTAGAATGCAGTCATCAGGTTAAATATTTACAACAAATTAATTAATTAATCAATCAAATATGCTATTACACATCAAGTAATTGATCAATCAATCCATCAAATATGCTATTACACACCCTGTAATTGATCAATCAATCAATAAAATATGCTATTACACACTCTGTAATTAATCAATCAATCAATCAAATATGCTATTACACACCCTGTAATTGATCAAGATTTGATAAAGAAAACTGATGTAAAAGAAAATTTCAATAGTCTGTTGAATTTTTTACATTTTTAGGTGAAATTGTTTTAAAGAGTTTAATTTGTTTAATTTTTGTATATAATTATTTTATGTAAATTAGTTTAATAAGTTTATTTAATCAAATTAATTGCATTAGGGGAGGTTGGGAGAATACAAATAACTTCAGAAACTAAATCTTTCCTGGATATGCAGGGAGACGACTTTAAGTACACTCTTAGGTAATTAGGCACAGTTGAGCCAAATCAAAGACAACCTTATTAAAGGGAGTGTCCACGAAACTAGATTGTAAAGACAATCTTATTAAAGGAAGTGTCCATCAAACTAAATTGTACAGACAACCTTATTAAAGTAAGTGTCCACGAAACTAGATTGTAAAGAGAACCTTATTAAAGGAAGTATCCACGAAACTAGATTGTATAGACAACCTTATTAAAGTAAGTATCCACGAAACTAGATTGTATAGACAACATTATTAAAGAAAGTATCCACGAAACTAGATTGTAGGTCTGAGTTTACAAAAATTTTAAATAAAAAGTAACGAAGAAGTTCAATTGGGAGTTGAACACTAAACAAAAATTTCAATTTCCTAATCCTTATTTTAACAACGCACCGAGAGTAAGAAATCTTACTTAACTCTTGGTTAATATTTTCATAATAAGTATGAAACAGATATCTTTAGTTATAATTTTGAAAACTACAGTGATAACCAGAAAACTCTGGAACAGTAAGACGACTTTGAGAATCAAGTTTTAACTTTAAAAAGTTCAGTAACCATAAAACACAGCAATTTTGCAGTGTAATCAGACCCATTTCACAAAAAAGTGATTTTATGAGTGTCTGGTAAAACCATCAAATGCCCTTTAGTATTGCTATGATGTCGTCTTCCTAATCCATTATTTTCTGGGTTATCACTGTAATTATTTTCAATTGTGACTTGCGTATTTCTACGTCAGGAAAACGTATAAAAATTATCGGAATTTAACACTGTCAAACCTCAAAAACGAGAATGTAACTCTTTTTTTTGATCAGGGTTTCAAGGGTACCGTTGTAAATCGAGCATTATTTTTTTTGTATAGAGGGTCACTTGAAATTACGCTTACAGTCCCTTTAAAGGTTATATTTTAGAGGAACTATAGATGTGAAGGGTAAAGGTATGATGGAAACCTACTGGCTTCTCTCACAAACCCTCAAACCAGAAATACAAGGAAAAAAGTAAACAAAGATGTAGACTGCCACTGGACAAATACAGGGTGTCCCAATATAAGTACAGACTTCTAGATCGCCTTTGTAAATGCTTTTTGATTTAGTAAAGTGATGCCATATTATGTAGGAAAGATGTAATCTCTGTTTCGTCAAGTTTATAATTTGGTCATTAATATTTTAATTGTGTTTTCTTGGATATGCAAAATAACCAATCAGACTTCATCAATAGGTTGTAACAAAGTCGTCACGTCATTCACACGTTCATTGGGACACCACACCTATCCAGATGTAAGAAATAAAACCATTATTATTGGGACACCACACCTATCCAGATGTAAGAAATATAACCATTATTATTGGGACACCACACCTATCCAGATGTAAGAAATAAAACCATTATTATTGTTTAAGTACTTGGTATTTGAAAAGTGGCAAATAAACTGACAAACTTGTTTAGGTGTTGATTCTACTTTTTGAATAGATTTTACAATTATGAATAAGCAAAAAACAATTTATAAAAGTTTATGACAAAAAAGGTTATTTTCAACACGATTCTTAATGGGTTTGGAACAAAAATCTGGAAAAAGAAAAGTAATAACTTTTTAATTCATATCTCATTTATCCTTCATCTGGAATGTTTTAATGGTACCGAAGTCAATCCAACATTCCACTATAGAAATTACTCCAGTCCCCTTATAGTACCACCATAGAGAATAGAATATATAGAGAGGAATTAAAGGAATCTCTCGGTATGAATTTTTTCAGTCCCTTTCAGCCTGAAAGGGAGTTCAAAGTGTACAAATCATGTAAATGTTCACAAATTATATGCAGTAGAGTACATTAATACAGTATGTTCCCTAGACTATTCATTTCAATTTCGAATTTTTTAAACTGTTAAATAAACTTTATAATGAATTAGGTGAATAAAAACATCATTTGATTTATAGTTATAACGGAAAATCATCGTTTGTAAAGTGGAAGGCATAGAGTCTATGTGAAATGATCATTGGTCAATTATGAAACCAGCCTATTTCATAATTTGGTTTTCTTTTCACAATAATTTTAGATTTTCTATAAAATGATATTCCAGGGCCCAACAGGTTATAAAGCATAAATATGTGAAGTACACCTGCAGTTTGGAAACAGTACTACAAAATGGCCGTTTTACACTTTTTTTCTAGTAAATTCCTCTCTATATATTCTATTCTCTATGAGTACCACATTGCACATGGTTATAAATTAAATCATTGTAAAATTTTGACTGTTTTTGAAAAATAAACTGTTAATATATTTATTGTAAATTTTAATTCTATCTTACAGTATGAAACTGTTAGTCGCCTTAAGCTTTAATTTTCTGATTTTCATCTTTGCAACCTGACCACGTAAACTTTTCACTTCTCAAACTGTGATCTCTAATGAAATATTCAAAGTTTTAAATATCAAAGTTTAGTGTATATAATGTTGCAAAGATATAGGAATAATAAATTTAGAATTTGTGGCGAGTAATCACTAATCAGTGTCCAATTAATCATTAAAATTAAATATAAATGTTTAAAGTTTTTATGATTGTGGCATCGTCATTATTGCTGTATTGACAATTGAACCAATTTTCTGTATTTCACATTTGATAATATCTCCTCTTTTGATGAACTCTGGAGGAGACCTAAAAAAAGAAACCAAATAATAATAAATCTACATTTTTGAAATATTTTATCAGAAACAAAAAAATCAAAAAAGTTAATTGATAATGATGTTGAAAGTGAATTTATTTATGATTAATTTTTAAGTTTATTGCTTTACGGGCTTCTTCTTTAAAGTGTATATTTGACAAATTTTTCAACAAAATTCTGAGATTTAAAGAATTTGATCCAAATTGTTGTGGGCCATTACTTTTAAACCCAATGTTTTTCATTATTTCGATATTTTGTTAATGTTTAGGCTTTTTATTTTTAAGAGCATGTCAGATCAAAACTTAACAAAATTTATTTCCAAAATTTACCCAGGCAATAAACTATGCTCTAGTAATTTTAGAGTACTCTTATTCAAGTTTCGTGAACAGGTCCTTTAAACCCTGTAAAATATACCTTGTGACCCCGACCCCGGCTGGTGTGCCGCTCAGTATCAGATCCCCAGGTAGAAGGTCATAATAGATAGATAAATAGGATATTAGGTCACGGATATCTGAACATAAGTCAAACTTTATAAATTCTAAATCTTTTCCTATCGAGCTCAGTCGGAATCGGGTATTCCCTGACGGTTCAAGTAAAGTAGTTGAACACAGCCATCTTTATTTTGAGTAATTTCTTAAGTCTTTTGGTGGATTTACATTTTAATTCCGGTTTGGCGTTAATACCCGTACGGAAAGTTTGGCCCGCTTTAAAGATTTGGTCATGAAAGCATTATAAACACTGCTAAACATAACTTATTGTACAGGGTTACACGCAAAGGATGAGATTGTAAAGACGACCTGAAACTCATAAAATATGACGATTACGTCTTCTGCCTTGAATATTGTCTTTTAATGACCAATTTATTGCCATGGCAACGAAAGAAACCAGTTTAAGGTTGCAGAGAATTCTAAATATATGGAAATAGACAGTATAAATTCTGTACAGTCTTCTCTGAAGTCTCATCCTTTGTGGGTAACCCTGTATGTAGTAATAATAGAAAAAATAATGTCTTGCATGTCGTTTTCCTTTCAAATACAATGTTTTTCATCTAGGATAAACGGAGACAAGTTTAATGAATAGTCTTTCATGGAAATTCATAGAGAAAGATAGTTCTTCATGGATAAATAACCATAGGATATAATTTCATTCTATAGGAAAAGGATCTTGTTTAGAGGACATAGATAAAGGATACCAGTTTATGTATATATATATACAGGCCGGGATACCCTCAAAGGATGAGACTGTAATGACGACGTTAAAATCTCTGAAGTCTCGTCCTTTTATAGGTGACCCTGTAGAATATATATATTGAACAAAGACACAAGATTTGAAGATATTGAATGTCTGTCTCCTCATGGATATCTGGATATCAAGGAGAATATCTTGATATGAAAGTATTATATTAAAAATATTCATTTATCTTACCAAAAATCATATTAGAAGTATTGCTACTCTGTTTCAGTTTTCCGTTCACTTCTGTACTCAACTTTAGAGCAAGGGGTAGGGGTATCTAAATTTAACAATTAGAGTTCAGAGTTCAGAATTTTTGTATTGAAAATCCAATCAAAAGCTGCAATCAAAGCTGTTTTCGTCCAATAAGATTTCAAAGAAATGCGAGTCAGAAACTTAGCAACTTTGGGTTTCATTTCCAAGGAAAAGGGGAACCAAACTGCTCAAAAGTGTGTTTATTAAAAAAATTTTAATTCTACTTTCGAAAACATTTCATCATCAGTCATCGTTGTATAAAAAAATTTAATGAAGTTTTTTTTTTTTTTTTTTTTTTTTTTTTTTTTTTTTTTTTTTTTTTTTTTTTTTTTTTTTTTTTTTTTTTTTTTTTTTTTTTTTTTTTTTTTTTTTTTTTTTTTTTTTTTTTTTTTTTTTTTTTTTTTTTTTTTTTTTTTTTTTTTTTTTTTTTTTTTTTTTTTTTTTTTTTTTTTTTTTTTTTTTTTTTTTTTTTTTTTTTTTTTTTTTGTTTTTTTACCTCGTCTTTTGTGACTACAGCAGGCCCTAGAGAACAAAATCCAGGGAAATTCTTAAAATTTAAATAAGTTGATTATTATTTTGATAGGTATAAATTTCATATTCGGGAGGATGGCCGATTGTGTTAAAGGAAACCTTTTACTTCAACTTCTTTTTACATTAAAACATCTGTGTATTTTAGCGACTAATCTCTTTAAAAGTTTTGTTTCCGGATTCAATTTCAGCATCTAGATTCATTTCGGTTTTTGGATTCCATTTAGGTTTCCAAATTCTATTTAGGTTTTCGGACTCAATTTCTGTTTCTGGATTCCATTTCTGTTTCCGGATTCTATTTTAGTTTCCGGATTCAATTTTGGTTTTCGGATTCCATTTCGGTTTCCGGATTTCATTTCTGTTTTCGGATTCTATTTTAGTTTCCGGATTTAATTTTGGTTTCCGGATTCCATTTCTGTTTCCGGATTCCATTTCTGTTTCCGGATTCAATTTCGGCTGGTTTCTGGATTCCATTTAGGTTTACCTTGGCCAGTGTCCAGAGTCCGGAATTCTTCTGAATAAGATCTCTGTTTAAAAACACACAACAAATATTTGAATAAAAAAATAAAGATTTATATTTATATTTATATATATATATAAAACTAAAGATTATCCATTAGAATGACCAAGAAAAAAGACCCTCTAGTCTATACTCTATAGCCTCAGAAAAAAATTTAGATTTTCAATCTGAATCTTTTAAAAATCATTATATTCTTTTTGTGCAGATTTTTGCAGCAGAGAAAATGAAGGAAATCGACTAAATATGTTTATTTTTAAGGTAGAAAATTTACAATAACTGATCGACCAAATTCTGCTTTTGACAAAGGGTACCGTCGCGTGAATCGTACATATAATGTGTGGGGAAAATATAACTCTAATAATATAATGACCATAGTTTGACCAAAAATATAATACGTGAAATATGAAAAATATAATATGTGAAATATGAAAAATGAAAATATGTGAAAATAAATGAATAGCCATGAATATGCGGGAAGAGTTTTAAAGAGCTCCATATAATCATTTCATTGAAAAACTAAATCCGCAACATTTCATTATCAGAAAGTGAAGAATACGACATTTGATGAGAAGTTTCGAAGTATGGCTTATTTAGGGTTTAACTGTACATTTTAGTTTTAGACAAGGAGAGGAAAGTGTCCCTTTAAATGAACTCTGCAGTTTAGGGTAAGTTAAATATTAACAATGCAAATATTTATATTAATAAAATATTATATTAAATTATGTTAAATTATTTTACATTTTTAAATAACAATTATTTTCCAGGTCCGGCTACCGGCAGAACGGGCGATCCTAACCAAAGCTCCCCGAAACACGTAAGTAATCCTATTACTTCTACTACTACTACTAATGATATTAATATTAATAATAACAATTATAATAATCACCATCCCCCCCCGTACTATACATGGCTCAGGAGTCAGGTAACTGATCCGATAGAACTATACAGCTCAGGTAACTAACTGCTCCTAGAACTATACAGCTCAGGTAACTAGCTGCTCCTAGAACTATACAGCTCAGGTATCTAACTGCTCCTAGAACTATACAGCTCAAATAACTAGCTGCTCCTAGAACTATACAGCTCAGATAACTAGCTGCTCCCAGAACTATACAGATAATAATAATAAAAATAATAATGGTAATTATAATAATAATAATAGTAATAATAAGAATAATGATAATAATAATAATAATAACAATAATAATAATAATAATAATAATAACAATAATAATAATTAAAGTCCTAAAGGGAGGGCTATGGGTATTAGGAAAAGTCAGAAAATTTCAACACCCTCAGACCAATACTTTTTGAGTCATGTAAAAACAAATTAACCCACCCCCCCCCCCCCCACCCCCAGCAGGAATAGGGGTAAGTAAGTAATAGGTAAGTTTGTTTGTCGATTCCTTGCAGTATAGTCAACACCAACTGTATATCCAAACACATAATCTAGGGCGTCTTCTTTCTTTATATATCTAGATATGAAGCAACATGTAGAGTAGGAAGACGACCTGAAATCTATTTTATGTGAAATCTTAATCGGGTTTAAAACATGAATAACTTTGATACTGCTAAATATTTGTGCTTAAATGTTCTTAAAATTAAAAAAAAAATATGAAACAATTTCTCAGAAATTAGATTTAAAATAATATTTCAAAGAAAAAAATGGTTATTTTCATGCATAAGATACTAAAACATCTTTGGAGTCGTCTTCGATCGATTTTACTTTAAATTTAATCTCATAAGGATTTTCTAATTTGCATTTGTTATAATTAAAGGGACAGTAAAGGAAAAATGAAAGGGGGTATAGACTGAAAGCTAATCACTTTAGCTCTTGATCGCGACCCATGAAAGTTTTATCTGATGTTCCTGTCTCGAGAAACTGATATAAAACTGTGTCAAAATTATACAAAAATTCATATATGTAAAATTTTGAAAATCTGAAACTTAAATCACGTGACCAGAACTATCCCCAATGGCAGAGCAGTATACTGGTCAACTGTCTCCGCCTGTATCACGTGACCACTTTACTGCACTGCCATTGGTGGAATTTCTGGTCAAGTAATACGGACGTAAAAATAATATTATGAATGAAATCTGTTGAAAATAGAAACAACAAATATAAAAGTAAACCTAAATTACATATTAGCTTTCTCTGGGATATCATCGTTTTCAGATTGGTTGCTTATTTGCTGAATATGATCTGTTTAAACCTACTACTTTTATACAAAATTGTATATATATTAATTTTCGTATAGATTTGACACAGTTTTATATGAATTTCTCGAGACAGGAACATCAGATATGACTTTCATGGGTCGTGATCAAGAGCTAAAGTGATTAGCTTTCAGCCTATACCCTTTCATTTTTCCTTTACTGTCCCTTTAAAAAACATTTTCATCAGCAGTATTTTGAATTAAAAAGAAGGAAAGACGACGGAAACCATTCCACTATTTTCTGGTTACTACTGTATTTACTATACCTGCCTTTCTTCCCAATAATAACTACTAATTCAACCTCCCAATCCACCTCCTTGGATTCATTAGGCAGCGGTAATGGATCGGTTGGACCTTATAAAGGGACTGTACACGTTATTTAAAGTGACCCTGTAAATCTCAGGATCAAGTAAATGTATAATTGAAGTTGGACTTACACGGTTTCTCACAAAACATGAAAGAAGCAAGACGAATATAAGGTCGTCTTTGATCTATGACATTATTTGCGGCAATCAACTCTCAAATCTACTTTTACATGTATGATTCTTGAAACAAATTGAACAAAAAATTATCCTTTATAGTGCATGGACTACTAAAGAAAGCAAGTTGCAAAAATAAAGTAATTAGAAAATTATAGTTTGAGACGAGTGTTTTGAAATTCCTAAAACTGTGATCATGGTCAGAACATATGAATAACGAATAAGAATAATTATTTTTACCCGAAATAGTTGAAGGTAGCTTGATAAATACTATCGGAGCTTCAGGATACGGCTTCCCCTGATTAGAAGATGACAAATTTACAATTAAACTTCAATTAAGAAATTAAAATTTAATGTATTACTCAATCGATTATATTCAGGATGAGATGTACGGAATTTGTAATGGCTATTTCCTTCTGTTTTTGATTCCCTGCAACTGTAAACTTGTTTCTTTATTTGCTCAATCATTACAAGTTATCACAAAAAGACTTTATTCATGTCAGACGAATTAATTCAACCCTGGAACTGTCATTACTGAGTTTTTGTGTCGTCTTTGCAGTCTTATCCTTTGTGGTTGACCCTGTATTATATTTTATGAACATTGATGAACCGTAAACAACGAAATGATTGTTTTTTTTTCTTTATAATTTAATTACACCACAAGCATTTTTTATTTGTGACATATTTTTGCATAATTCGCATGTCCGATTGAATCTAAAAGTTATAAATAAAACATTATAAATTTAGATATTGGTAATGACTATTCACTGTATTTTAAACATTTTGTTGTCATTATTAGTTTTTTTTCTTAAAATGCTTAGAGTATAAAGCTATTTTAACGTTAGATAAAAGTCAGCTGACCATTTCATCGGCGCCATCTTTGTAGTTGAGACCAATGCCGAGGATTTTATTTGGTTTGGTTATCGGAGCAACCAACTGAACATTGCTGAGCGAGACAGTTTCTAATGTTCCATTCAGTTCCGCTAATCTGATCTGAAAGAAACAACAATGCACTTTATCCACAAATAAGAAGTTTTTTTACTCGTTTATTTAAGGATTAAAACATCTTAGAACTCTATTAAAACTCAAACCTTGTAAATCTAAATTTTTAAAACAAATCCTGGGCAAGTTACTCTATTACTTTCCGAAAGACATCTTTCGCCTTTGAAAATTTATCAAAAAAAATTTTAAATTTTTTCTTTTTTAGATTTTTATTTAACCTCCAGTCCCTACTCCTTAGCACCCAAACCATTAAAGTTCGAGGCCTGACTTTTTGAAAGGTTGGATTAGGAAATATATTTTCCATCAGCTCTGTACCTTTACTCTATAAACTTCTACAGGACCTCCCCCCTCCCCCAACCTACTACACATAGATTCAAACCCCCCAACCCCAGTCATTTCAGGATTAAAAATGGGTACGGTGTGCCTTTCTTTTTTCTTGAGAAAGAACCTAATACCTACTACCAGCATCCTTTTAAGATTAAGGTTGAAACTTCCACTGAGGCCAAATTTAAAGAATTTGAGCCGCAGCTTAAATTTGTGACACCGCTCAAATATGGTTGGTTCCACTATAAATTGTATTTAATGTTTTAAGATTTAAGCCGGCGCTCAATTGAAACCGGTTTTTGATGGATTTGAGACACGGCTCAAATTCATTAAATTCGGACTCTGATTTTCTAATTTTTAATTTTTAATTACCTTAACAGTAGTCTCATCTAAGAGCTCCTGGCCACCTTCAATAATCTTCTGAAATTAAGGATTAGAGGTTTTCAAAAAAATAAAAATTTTCAATTGCATTTATTGTACTTTGATCTGTCCTCGAAAAAAATCAATTCGTTCTCAATGTAGAATATAATCAGTGTCCTCTACTCCGAAAACAACTTGTTTTTACGCAAATAAATCAAATTTTTAGCTGGAGAAATCACTATTTGATTTTTTAAACTCTCTACGGACGGTCAGATGTCAAAAGCAATTAAAGAATTTCTTCCGTGAATAATATGACGATTCCAAGGTTAAACTAAGTGTTCTGTCTCAAGTGCAGTCTTTAACTGGCTTATTTTTGGCAAAGAAAGAAACAAACTCACAGTCGCAGGGAAAAGCGAATATAAGGAAACAGACAGTACTAATTCCGTACAATCGTCTCTGAAATCTTAGCCTTTGTGGGTAACCCTGTATAATCTGAGCCCTCCGCCCAATAATACAGTTTTAGACATATTTGGACAAGATATTTACCTAATGCTAAAATACAGGGTTATTCACAATGGATGAGACTTTGATTACGACTTAGAACTTTTGAATTCTATCAATAAATTCCGAAAGTCGTCTCTGAAGTCTCGTCCTTTAAAAACATGATCGTTGGAATTTTACTTTTGTACTTCAGAAAGTTTTTAAAGATACATTAAATGATGAAAATGGAAACACATGTGTGCACTGTGCAGGTTTTCAATAGTTTAATGAAGAAACTCTTTACAGTCGTCTCCATTGTCTCATCCTTTGTGGGTAGCCCTATATTCCAATGAAATTAATTCCAAGTTTGACCTGCATTGTTCCAGGCAAGAGAATAATATCTTAAGTTTGACCTGCATAGTTCCAAACAAGAGAATAATATCTCAAGTTTGATCTGCATATAGTTCCAGGCAAGAGAATAATATCTCAAGTTTGACCTGCATAGTTCCAGACAAGAGAATAATATCTCAAGTTTGACCTGCATAGTTCCAGACAAGAGAATAATATCTCAAGTTTGACCTGCGTAGTCCCAGGCAAGAGAATAATATCTCATGTTATACCTGCATGGTTCCAACTTCCAAGCAAGAGAATAATATCTCAAGTTTGACCTGCATGGTTCCAAGCAAGAGAATAATATCTCATGTTTGACCTGCATGGTTCCAGGCAAGATAATAATATCTCAAGTTTGACCTGCATAGTTCAAGACAAGAGAATAATATCTCAAGTTTGACCTGCATGGTTCCAAGCAAGAGAATAATATCTCATGTTTGACCTGCATGGTTCCAAGCAAGAGAATAATATCTCAAGTTTGACCTGCATAGTTCCAAGCAAAAGAATAATATCTCAAGTTTAACCTGCATTGTTCCAGGCAAGAGAATAATATCTTCGTCTTCATCTTTTTGAACACCAAGATATACTTCCTAAGATACATATTTATGAATTCAAGAGAATTGTCTCTAAAATCGTTAATATCACTTTAAGGGGGGGGGGAAGGCAATGCCTTAGCTGCTCTTATAGGGTGCAGGGTCCCAATTCTCAATTTGAAACATGAAAACTAACAATTACATAGTAAATAACATAACGAGGGAATGAAAACGTAATTTCAACGGATTCACAATTTAGAGAGTATAATGCCCGATTCACATCAGTACCCTTTACAGTTTACACCTTCCTCTGAGCAACAATCCTTTCTCTCCCTAGTCTCCACTGCATAAATTCTTCTGTCTCTATTAAACCAGAAAATTACGAATCTTTCGAGATCTTTTCTGCAGAGAGACGAAGGTTTAAAGGGTACCGAAGTGAATTTATCTAGAAATACAGGAACATTCAATTCACGGGAAGCCGTTGTACATTTGAATTTCCGAGCCGGGTCAACCTTTCCGGTCCCAGTTTGTACTATACCTAGCTCTATAGACAGGACTAGCCGGTGCAACAAGGTTGACACGGTCAGACTTTATACTTCATATAAGTTGAATTTATTTGTACTGAAGGGGCAGAGATGTGCGAATTAATGTCCTGGTTTATTCTCAAAACCTTTTTGTTGTATATATATTAAACATAAATTGCATATAAAATCTACCAAATCTTTTTTAATATATTCACATGGGAATTCAGTGACGACTTTTATATCTCTTCGATCCATGCGTCCTTTTTTCATGAACACAATTATTGCATTATTCCAGCTCAAACATCTAATATCTAGAACGCCGGTCTTGAGATGTTCAAAATGTGGTCTACCATTTTTGCATATACAAAATTGGCGGAGATATTGCAAACTTTTTACAAATTTCAATTTATTTAATAAATCAAAATTGTCTTTATCTACTATCTTCGTTTTTTTTAAGATACAAGAAGTGTGGACCACTCGTCATACGTACGGCCTCGTTTATTTTTTAAACCTTCTTTGCCATGCATTTCATATCAAAAATCAACGACGACTTTAAAGTCATCTCACAATTCCCATGTTTCTTGGGACCCCCCGGACGCCATGAGCCTCCGCTATGCAGAAATGAGCATAGCGCAATACAGCAAAATGTGCCTGTGTAATATAGGAGGTTTTTTTAAACTTGTGTTTTAAGTTTTAATTAAAAGATTTTTAAAAATTTTTCGACATAGTGGCAGTGAGAGGTTTTCAAAGATGAGAAGTATTTATCAATTATCATAAACATTGCCTAATTTTTACAAACAAAGTAGTATATAAAACTTTAAACATTATTTACATTATAAGGAAAATATTTAGAGAAAAAAAAATTTGAATTGATTTTCATTTTATCTTTTATAATCTTTAATTTAAGCAATACCTTATTCTGTAGTTCAAATTAAATTTAGAAAATTTGTATCATTTATTTAAATCTTAACATTTTTTAAAAAAAGGTATTGTTAAAATTAAAGTTTACAACAAAATAAACTAAATTTACTTCAGAAATATTTCTCCAAATATCTTCCTTTTTGCGTAAGAAATGTTTAAAGTTTTAGCATAAATCTTATAAACATATATGGTTTTAATCATGACAATCAATAAATAACTCTAATCTTCAGTAAAATTCTTATGCCACTACGTCAAAAAATGTTAAAATTTTTCATAACACATTAAAACCACGATTTAAAAAAATCTGTGCTGTATGGTGAAGGCTCGTTTACTGCATATCGGAGGATTGGTCTGCATAGTTGAGGCTCGGTCTGACTAGAAAATCTGAGAGGCTCGTGTCTGCATAGCGGAGGCACTGGCGTCCGGGGGTTCCCTCCCTCCTTACCTCATCATTCTCATTTTCTTCTAAATGTTCGTATTGAAACTGAACCAATCTCATTGTTCACAACAATTAACTTATAGTTGGACCTATAAAACTATGGAATAGGAAGACGACAACTAAACAATTTTATGATACAGGTTTACCCAAAGGATGATACTGTAAAGACGACCTGAAACTCGTAATAGTTGACTATTTCGAGGTTAATTTATGTTTTCTGCCTTGAATATATTCTTTTATCGCTTATTAGATGATTAAACAAGAAACAAGTTTACAGTTGCATGGAATCCTAAATAAAGGGACAAACAGTGTAAATCTGTGCAATCGTCTCTGAAGTCTCATCCTTTGTGGGTAACCCTGTATAAAGTCAGAGTTTTACTCATTGCTGAAAAATAAACTTTTTACGTAAAATCGGGTTGTTTATACTGCATAATTAAGCTGTAATCAAATTCATGTTATTCTTTGTTTTGATGACTATATCATAATCATAACTAGAGTATACCAGAGCCCGCGATTTAAAAGCTTCGGCTCAGGTCGTAATTACTTAAACCCAGCTTTAAGACCCAATCTTAGACCCAACTCTGACGACAGCTTGTGGCACGTCATTGACATCTGCGAAATCTTAGGCTCGACTAACGGAGTTTGTCCCAATGAAAATAAAACCGACCTTTGTTGGTTTTAGTGGAGAATCAGGCTCTATGCTCATCAAAACCCGGAACGCGCCAATTCCTGCGATTAAAATTCGCTAAATGCATTATCAAACCGGTTTTTTGAACTCAACTCTTTGGAAAATAAGATTCAAGTTTAATCCGAAAGCTAAAGCCGTAAATAAGGCCCAATGAAAGCCTAGACCCGAGCCGTATTGTCTTGAATTTTTTTAATCGCCGGCTCAGTTGTCTCCTTATTCCACAGTTTAATGAGTCCCTCTGTATAGGATAGTGAATAGTGAATGTTATGAGGTATTTCTTATCAAACACTAAACACGGAAATGATTATATTTCAGGATACTTTAAACAAAAGTTGGAATATCTAACATAAGTTTTTTTCTTAATTCGTTCGTTGAAGAATTATCGCGACGAATAGGCCCATCAAGTGACGCACTGTCGGTTTATATTAGAATTTGCTTTTCTTACTCACAGACAAACGTTGACCCTGACAAAAGATAAATGACAAGAACGACCGAAAAACGATCCATAAGTAGTGTTATCGCGATCGTATTTGAATCGTTCGCCCTTTTTTGCTTTGGGATAAAGATGTTGCATAGTTTGATTCAGAAAACATTTTTAAATCTTACAAGTTTTATTTAAAATAACCGAACCATATACAGGGTGTCCCACGAAACATGACAATAGAAAGACGACTTGAAAGTCGTCTTTGGTATTTGAATTTATTTGTGACATTTAGTCTTCTAGACAAGGGAAATTTTGTGAGTATTATCTCTAGAAATTTACTTCTAAAATTAGGTTGACAAATAAACGCATCAAATTATATAAAAAATCAAGACGACATTCAAGTCGTCCTGCATACTGTCATGTTTCGTGGGACACCCTGTATCTTAACGATTCATCTAGTTTTTAAAATTCTCAAATTTTTTTTAGTTATTTTTCTTTTCCTCCCGTGCAATCATATGATGTGATATCGATGATCGATGATCATATGATGTGATATCGATGATCGATGATCATATAATGTGATATCGATGATCGATGATCGATGATCTATGATCTATGATCGATGATCGATGATCGATGATCGATGATCGATGATCGATGATCGATGATCGATGATGATCGATGATCGAAGATCGAAGATCGAAGATCGAAGATCGAAGATCGAAGATCGAAGATCGAAGATCATCGATGATCGATGATCGATGATCGATGATCGATGATCGAAGATCGAAGATCGAAGATCGTATATCGATGACCTATGACCTATGACCTATGACCTATGACCTATGACCTATGACCTATGACCTATGACCTATGACCTATGACCTATGACCTATGACCTATGATCTATGATCTATGATCTATGATCTATGATCTATGATCTATGAGATATGAGATATGAGATACGAGATATGAGATATATGATATGATAAATATATGATATATGATATGATATCAAGAAACTAGGGAGGTGTCAAAAAGCTCCTTGACCTATGGGGAGTATGCCATCACAATCCCTTCTAGGTAAGGGCTTTGACATAGTTTAAGCCTTACGTCGGACACACAACCAAATTTTAGCCATGTCACTGGTCCGATTCTTTTTGTCAGCTAGTCGTCAAATGTATTTCACATATAATTAAGAGAATCTACCTCCCGGTTAACTGTTGTTTTTGATATTGTAGGTTTTAATAGGTTATATGATAAATTATAGGAACAGATTTAGATATATGAAATGTTATAAAATTGGATTCATAGAATGAATTGATATTAAATGTTATAAAAATGGATTTATAGAATGAATTGATATGAAATGTTATAAGAATGGATTTATAGAATGAATTGATATGAAATGTTATAAGAATGGATTTATAGAATGAATCGTATGAAATGTTATAAGAATGGAATTCATAGAATGATTTGATATGAAATGTTATAAAAATGGATTCATAGAATGAATTGATATTAAATGTTATAAGAATGGATTTATAGAATGAATTGATATAAAATATTATAAGAATGGATTTATAGAATGAATTGATATGAAATGTTATAAGAAAGGATTTATAGAATGCAATTGATATGAAATGTTATAAGAAAGGATTCAGAGAATGAATCGATCGTTTCTAAATACCTACGTCCTACAGATACTGGGACTGTCCTTTTCAAGTGATCCCCCATTCAAAGAATGAGATGCCCGATTCAGAACGGTATCCTATACTTAACCCTTTGTTTGATCATTTATGTGGAATATAATGTCGTTTTTTTCCTATCTAAAAAAGTTGAATTCTGTCGATTTCCTCTATTGTTTCTGCACCATAAATCCGCAAGTCACTTTCACAGTTGAAAAACAGTATATTTTCAGCAGGAAAATAGGGGGTTCTCATTCAATCTTGATCTAAAAAAAGTACTGTTTTGTTGCCGCTTTGTAAATGAAAAAAGTACTGTTTTGAATCTGATTTGCCGCTTTATAAGTGGAGGCTCACTTGAAATTGCGTTTACAGTCCCTTAGATGTGCACATAAAATTATGCAGGGACAAAAAAATAACAAACTAAAATATTTTAAATCACTTTTTTATCCAATTTATTCACACGATATAATATTGGAAATGCCAAAAATAATGACAAACAAAAATATTTTAGATCAGTTTTTTTAATCCAATTTATTCACACGATATAATATTGTCAATGTCAAAATTTAAAGTTTAAGACTAGAACTGTAGAAAGTAGGTAGATGTACAGGTATAAATCTAGGTCTAATTTTTAAATGTTTTAAAAAACTCAGCCAAAAATTAACTGTTTAAATAAATTATAACTCCATTATAATATCAATAACAAAAATTGAGCAGCTATGATATAAACACCAAAAAAAAATCAAAATCAAAATATAAATATTTTTTTTAATTTTAGCACTAGATAATTTTTTATCATATTATTTTAAAACAATGCAATCTCAGATTAAATTATTAAATTATACCATCATATTTTTCTTCAAAGTAATAAGTACTAGTTAATAAATGACTATATACCAATATATAATAAGTACTAGTTAATAAATGACTATATACCAATATATATAAAGTACTAGTTAATAAATGACTATATACCAATATATAATAAGTACTAGTTAATAAATGACTATATACCAATATATAAAGTACTAGTTAATAAATGACTATATACCAATATATATAAAGTACTAGTTAATAAATGACTATATACCAATATATAATAAGTACTAGTTAATAAATGACTATATACCAATATATAATAAGTACTAGTTAATAAATGACAATATACCAATATATATAAAGTACTAGTTAATAAATGACTATATACCAATATATATAAAGTACTAGTTAATAAATGACTATATACCAATATATATAATATAAATGCAACCACACAAAAAACTTGAAAGTTTTAATTGGATTTAAAAAAAGGATTCACAGACAAGACCAGAAATGTCGTCTTTGTTAAGATTTGATAAACTTTGTAAATTCAAACTCCATAGCGCAGCAAGGTAGTTTATTAAGGTAAGATATTCTGGATGCGCGCGCGCACTTTAGTATCTTTCTCTTTTTTCCAACAATCATTACGTCATATCAAACCTTATTAAACAACATTGCAGCGTAGTGAGTCAAGTGAGTACAGTCAGAGATGAAACTTTTCGTCCTGATGAACAGTTCAGGAGGCGTGCACGCTTGGTTTATATCTACAAAACTGACCAAACTATATCAAAGACATCTTCTGTTCTTTATCAGGGTTACAGGGTTATCGAACAAAAGAAGAGACTGCAGAGACGACTAAAAACTTTTAAATATGAAAGTTCCAATGTTAAATTAAGTATTATGACTTAGCTATAGTTATTATGGCATTTTTAATTACAAGAAACAAGTTTTTAGTTGCAGAGAATTATAAATATAAGGAAAGTGACTATTTAAATTTCATACAATTGTCTCTGAAGTCTCATCCTTTGTGGGTAACCCTGTATCAGTTTTTATTAAACAAGAGAATGTTCTGATAAATCTTCTATTTCCTCCTCTAGAATACCGTCTTCTCCATCCTAAATGAATAATATTAAAACTACTCTTAACCTACAGAGCATCCCTCAACAGAAATACTGGATCTCAATACTTGAACGCCAAAATACATTCACTGTTTAGAATTCCCTGTTTTTCTGCTTGCAAAGAACCCGTGGCAAGTAAGACATTTTGTAATATCTCTTTCAATATTCATAGCAGCCGGTTCTATTTTAGAATGTAGACTCATATAATTTGTTAGGGAGCAGGATATGAAGTCAGATTGTCGATATCTCTTTCCGGAGTCTTGGAACCTCTGAAAAGTGACCTCCGTCGGCTCCGATTTTTTATCTCCGGCCTCGTTGGACATAAATAGAACTGGCTGCTATTAATATTGAAAGAGATATTATAAAATGTCTTACTTGCCACGGGTTCTTTTTAATTTGGCCAGATGATTCAAAAAATTATATCTCTATTCGATCAAATATGATGTGAGATACCCTACAGTAAACAGTAAGAACAAGAAAACTGTGAAACAGAAAAACAATATTTGATCAATAATTAAGGGAATTTAATGTTGTTATGAAGTAAATAGTTCTTATTATTTCACTTATTAAGTGAAATTGGTCTGTTTACTCTGCACCATTGCTGCGTTTCATGCTCATTGGACTATTTAGTCTAAAAGTCGTCTTCCTATTTCAGAGTTTTTTAGTTATCACTGTACAGAAAGTGTTGTAAGAATTTTTAATAATTGTTTCTTCCAAAATTTGCTTCCCTTATGATATACCAAATTTTAAACCTGAGGGGAAAATATCGAAAAAAAACGAACGAAATATACAACCCCTTTAATATGTTTTACACAAAAGTTGATTAAATTTTCCTGGTTCATGGAAATACAAAAATCAAAATTAAAAATCCTAACTTATTTTGAAGAGAGAGAGAGGAGGGAGGGGTCGGGAGGGGAGAGGAGGGAGGGTAGAGGTGGGAGGGAGAGGGATTGATTGATTTCCAACTAAAGCTATCCACCAAACAGTTACCTGAGCTGCAAACCTACGGACTAGAAGGAGAGCAATCAGAAGAACTAAACCAACAATAACGAAGTCGTAAATCTACAAATATTTAAAATTTCAGTTTTTATTGGATATTGGGAAATTTCTGGCATAATTTCAGAAATTGCACCGTTCAAATCTAAAATCCCGGATCATGGAGAAAGATCCTGAACATTGGCAATTTTTTTATTTCTAATCCCTTTATCTTCGCAACCGAAAATGTGAACCTTATTTTAACAGCTTTGTCTCTTCTAAGATCTGCATTGATGTTAAGATTAAAGTTGCAAAGGGGTGCAAAGCACCCTTAATACCTGATATCCTGGTTCTTCCACGTGTACACTGGGTTCCTCAGGTCTAAACAAAATAGAAATACTTTAAACAATTTTTAAAAATAAAAACACAAAAAGGAAAAATTATGTGTTTTCTCAAAGGTCCATCTCTGATCTTGATATTACCAAGGATAAAAAAGAGATGGAAACATTTCTTAAAAAATATATATTTTTTACAGGATTTAAATTTTTAGAATTTGCATATAAAATTATATATTATATTCATATATATTTACACTGAAGGCAGTATTTATTAAAGCTTTTTAAATGAAACCCTATTCGTTGATTTAGACTTTGCTTGGTCTAAAATCAACAAGGTTAAAGTTTAATAAGTGCTGACGTACGCCAATCCTTTACTATTAATATACAGAGCGTCCCATATCATATCAGATTATCTCCAATCTTTAACACCAAAATAAACCCTTAATACTCGAAAAACTTATCATTTTCCGCAAGAAAAGTCTTATATTATTTTTCAAAATGATTCATTCTAATTAAATTTTCTAATTAGTCCCAAAAATCGTAATTTAGACCCGTTCTCGGTCTAATATGATGTGGGACACCCTGTAGGCCGGGAACTATACTGAGAGTGTACCGCATATTTGTTTACTTTAAGGAGATTCTGGCCTAACCTATAGCATATCATTATTAGTAAACAGTTGTAAGTGTACAGTACAGCTAACTGAGCACACAGGTAGAGAACTATCATCCCCCTGTCTAGCACTATTTGTGTTATTGTACATTTATAAAGAAAAGGGGCTGGAGCGCACGTGCACCTTATGCCCCCCCCCACACCTTTAACGCCACTGACATTTAAATATTAATTAATCTTAATAATAAACCTTGAGGCGAGGGGACAAGCAGTCGCTGTTCTCGGAACATTATCTATTGATGGAATAACAGTTTCGACAGCTGCGTCTGTTACATCTCCTGTCTGTTCAACTGCACCACTGTCATTGCTATCAGATTTTAAACTAGCAGAAGACTCTTTCCTTCTCATCATCTCCTCTTCACTCTAGGAATTATTAAAAAAATTACAGGAAATCTTCACAAAATAATTAAAAGGAACAGTTAACCAAATAAATAGAGGAGTAAAATAATTTAAAGGGTGGGTTAGCAAAGATTAGAAAAATTATCCTTTAATGACATCAAAACAATCGATTTCTACCACGAAACTTGGCATTGTACTTTTCTGCCATTTGGGGTGATTTAAATTCTTTGTACAGACACATTGAACAGAGAAAAAAGCAGTTCTCATCAAAATCTAATTATTGTTCAATCTTTTTTTCTTATTTTTCACCAACAATTTAAATAAAACGATTTGTTGTATAAAGAAAATTAAAGGAATTCTTGAATAAAAAAGAGGCTCCACATTTAATCTTTCCATTTCCTCCTTTTCCTTTGAAAATATCAAAATCTTTTCCTTTTCTTTTTATTTTTATTTTTCAGTTTTTTTAATTTAACATAATCATCTTAGTAATTTATTGTTAAAATGATAAAAACATATCAAACCTAATTCACAAATCTAGTTTTCCAATGTACGAGAAAAAAACTGTTTTTAGGGTGCAAATTGGACACCACTGTAAAGGAACAAGCCAGTCATCAAGGCTTTCTTTATAAAGATACAAGATCTGGGAAAATGATTCTAGTTGATGGAATTTTAGGATCAATGTTTTATGCTTTTGATAGAGTTGCTGATAAAACCTGTGTTCTGGATACACTTAGTCGAGAGTTCTCCTTGGAACAGATGAAGAACTCTAGATCAAATTTTTATCAAGCTTTTCAACTGCAGGATACAGAGGGAAATATCCAAGAAAAACGAAAGATATCNTTATATATGTATTTATATCTTTGTGTGTGAAGAAATCTTTATAATAATATATATAATAAAACAAGACATTCATATATATGTTGCCTATAGCCGGCTGGACCATATGGGCAGAAAGTTTTTGCGGACACTCATGGGTGGCCAGGGGGTGTTATAGGCAAAAACAAATCGATTTTTTCCATCATATTTTTTAAAATTGTTTTTTTTAAAAAACATTTTTTCAAAATAAAAAAAAATTTCACGGGCATCGCTGAACCATTCAGCTAGTTTTATTTTTATAAATAACGATTAAGATTTTTTTTTTTGTACCTTAAATTCTAATGATTGAACTATGCTGTCAACCTCCTCTTGGTTAATAGTAGAATCCTGCAAAGATCAATCAATCAACCATCAACCATCAACCATCAACCATCACCATTAACCATTAACCATTAACCATTAACCATAAACCATCAACCATCAACCATCAACCATCAATCATTAACCATCAACCATCAACCATTAAACATTAACCATTAAACATTAACCATTAGTCATTGGTCATTGGTCATTGGTCATTGGTCATTGGTCATTAATCATTAATCCTCCATCATCAATCAAGATCAAAATCAATGATCAAGGTCTACCCGGTTAGGTTTAGCGTGGACCTAGAACAAAATTATCTTCCTGGCTAGGTTTAGCGAGGACCTTGGACAGAATATCTACCTGACTAGGTTTAGCAAGGACCTGGGATAGAACATCTACCTGACTAGGTTTAGCAAGGACCTGGGATAGAACATCTACCTGACTAGGTTTAGCGAGGACCTGGGATAGAATATCTACCTGACTAGGTTTAGCGAGGACCTGGGATAGAATATCTACCTGGCTAGGTTTAGCGAGGACCTGGGACATATTATCTACCTGACTAGGTTTAGCGAGGACCTGGGACGGATTTACTTGACAAGTACTACAAACCCAATCTTTACTCCTAAAATGAGGAATTTTAGATTCTATGAATGAATCTAAACTAAATAAACATCGTTTTTTGTCTTAAATTTTAAATTTACTTGATTTATTGAAAAAGTATAATCTGTAGATTGAAAAAAACAGGAAAGGTGATTTTAAGATTTGGTACATAATGTACACTTTAAAATAAGTGAACAATCCCTTTAAAATAAAAAATGTTTTTGGTATTTTCTGCGTAGAACCTACTTGTGAGCCAATATTTTCCTCTCTTGAGGGGTGTAGTCTAGAGACCCTATGGTGCCCTGTCCAGGGGTTGGCATAAATCCTATTATAGCGAGCAGAGCAGTTCTAAATATATAGAAACTAACAACTAAGGATCAGAGGCGTATACAGGGNAGCCCGGCCCTGGAAGGCTAGAAAATATAATTACCAGGGGAAACCAGTCCCACAAGGGGACTGATCCCTCTGGAAAGAAAAAAAATGGCTAATTACAATGAGATATTCAAAAGGGAGACTTGCAGATAATTAAAAAAAATTCTAGTCCAATTTTTCGGACATCTTTTTGATTCTTCTTCAGACTTCAAACTTGTATTAACCGTCAGGGAACAATTTCGAAATTGTTCATTGCAATGCATTAAAAAAAAAAATAGAAATCATTAAAAAATCTCCCTGGCTTTCTGTGAGCGGAAACTCCTAAAATTCTGAATTACAAGATTGCCGCTATTTCGTTTGTGAATTTCAAGATGGTCGCCACTATTGTTTGGGAACTTCAAGATGGCCGCCATTATTGTTTGAGAATTACAAGGTTGTTAGTAATTTCCCTGATAGACCAAGATGGCTGCCAGGTTTCAGGATGGAATCCAGATATACTCAAGCATATCTTCTGACCAACAACAAATCTTCCATTTGGCTGAAAAATAATAATTGTTAAAAGGACTGTTGACGTAATTTTAAGTGACCTTCCCTTTATAGGTTGATGTGTCCGATCACAACGGTTTATTTGATCAAGAATAAATGAAAATATCCATTTTTTTTTCAAACGTTTAGACATGCAATCTTAAAATGAATGAACACATAAAACTACTAAGACCGTTCCTTTAAGAGATATTACAAAATGAGAAAAAAAAATTTCCCAAGAAAGTATCCTACCGTTAATAGAATAATATCTGGGGGTTTCATCGGATACTCAGTTGGAACTATAATTCTTCCATGATACACTCCGTCCTAGAAATATTCATTAAAATAACTCTTCCATTTTTAACTCCATCCTAGAATATTCATTAAAATAATTCTTCCATGATAAACTCCATCCTATAAATATTCATTGCTAAATTCTTCCATGATAAAGAGGGGGTGGGGGGTGGAGGGGGTTAGTTAAGACCTTCTACCAGACTCTTTTACTTTAAAATTAAAAAAATAATTCTGTACATTCACTGAAATAGATATTCAATGTGATATAATAAAAAACAATAAAACTGCAATATTTTTTTATTACGAAATCTGGAAAAATAAGTTTAGAATAGTTTAAATTATACCTGAAAATCTGAACCTTCAGGACCTCTTACTGTGAAATGCCATTCAAACAAGTTTTCCTAAACATGTATTTAGAAGCCATATGTCATTTTCTAAAGAATAAAAATAATTTATGAGGATTTAAAAATTTTAAAATTTGTACTTAAGTAGGTGCCAAGGAAACCAACCAAGGGATAACAGATCAAATTACGACACAACAGCACTAACACGTTTTATAACAAACAGTTTACAAAGAAATGCCATTCACACACAAAAAAATAGTCTAGGCTATCAGGGCGATTTTAACTTTAAATAGTTGCTCAATCTTTCAGAATTTCCTGTTCGATAAAACAAAAATAAAATATTTTGCGGATTTAAATTTTTTTTCATGGATTTTCGAAATTCAACGAACATAAATAATTTTTTGGGAGACATTATTTTGTAATTCTGAGCATTTATAAGCCTTCCCTGGGGTCATATGAGGTCCCATAAACAATTTTGGCCCAATCGGTTTAACCCTTTTGACGTTTATTGAAAACAAACGGACAAACAGACAAGTAAAATTACATATGTATAAAGAAAAAAGATTAGTTTAATCATTACTAAGTTTGTTTACATTGCTCCCAATGGCCAAACTTGCAGTACACCCTATATAAGCAAACAATGAAGGTTCAAGGTAACTATTTCTCGATCTTCCGCTAGAATGCCGCTAATAAAATAACCTCTAAAGGAGCAGCAAAATAATCAGCTGTTGGTGTGGATAATTCAGCTGCTTCCCGCATTAATCGCTTCACACCTGAAATTAAAATAAAGAAAACAATTCGTTTTAAAAGGTAACACAAAAAAAGTGGCGGGAATCGGAAGAAACTGTAAAATTTCATTGGAAAAGAACGTAGCAATAATATGTCAACAAAAATGACAACTTGAAAGTTTACATGGCAAAAATGACGAAAGCAGTAAATCAGTGGCAACCAAGTCAACTTTTCCATGGAAGGACAAATTAAATTAATTATTTAAAACCACGTAAATTGATCTCTTTTTACGCGTTGAATTCTGGTTTTGTTGAATATTTTCATCAAACTTTCTTAAACGTTTATAAATCTATTTTATCACGATAAAAACAATAATGATGTTTGGTGTTTTATTTTCAGAAATACAGAAACTCGACACTCAAAAATCAAGATATCAGTAGCATCAAATGCTCCACGTTTTGATATTTCAAAAATGTGGTCGACAGTTTTTGTACCTTCAGAATTTACTGAGATATTGAGAAATGTGTCTAAATTTTAAAATATTTAATAAAACCGAAGATAAGGGGCGTATTCAGGAATTTGTCCAGGGCCCCTTCATTTTTTTATCTTTCCAGGGGGGGGGGGCTCCGCATCCGTTGGGGCCTGAAAACCCTCTGAAATCCATGCCAAAGATGTTTAAATGTTTAAAATCTCCGACAGTTTTAATTTTTCAAAGAATTTTACCTAGTTTTATGGACTTGAAATGTTTTTATGTACTCCTTTGACAACTATTAACTTTACAAACATCAAAGACTAATTGCAAGTCCAGGGTTCCTTGTCTAATGTATTGCATGACATCCCGCCAAGGAAATAACATCAAACTTGTGAATAGTACATGCATTCTATTATATATTCATGTAGAAGATGTTCCAAACAAAAACTGATAATTTTCACTTCTAAAAACTGCATTTTTGAACATTTAACTTTCATTAAGAAAAGGAAACAGGCATATAAACATATAATCGCACAGACTTACTTCTTGATGTACATAAAATTAGAGATAAAAAGAAAAATGATTGAAGACACTAGACAGGACTGATAAAGATACAGTGAATGGTGGGTTATGTGAACTAGTAAGTTTGTGTACTCTGTACTGTTTAATACAAAGTGTGTACTTTGTATTAGTAAGTGTGTGTGTGTGTACTGTGTATGTACTAGACTAAGTAACCTAGTCCAAAATTAGGAACATAACAAATATATTTATACGTTTTCATTAAACAAATATTAGTTGATCACAATTAGGATGACAAAACAATGTTTTGAAAACAGAAATTTAACAAATTTGAAAGAATCAAGCTTTGATTTGTTAATTAAAAAAAGAATTGATATGACTGAACGATAAAACAAATAAAATATTACACATTGCCCTTTACAACTATTTATGATGTTCACACACTGTATATCTAACAATTAAAATCAAAAACATTTAAAATAATATATTATCACAGTTATCAAATACATAAACAATTAACATATATATATATATATATATATATATATATATTAAGATTTAACCAACATAAATAATCTCCATCGCCATTTTATATACCGTAGACATTTATAATTCAAGGATCTTAAAATATTATGGTTGGATCGATTTAAAATTTTCACTTTTAACTCATCAAATAGAATTTAAGTTATTTAACATTTCCTAACTTTTTTACTGTTAAAAACAAACCCGGTTTCTTGACTGCCCAATTACTGCACTGCAAGGGACGAAAGTTCTGAACCTTGGTGTAACCCAACCCTGTCTCCAAGTGGCAGGTTTCGAACATAACCACGACTTGGAAATTTAGTCCCGGCAGTGTTTACTGTGTAGTGTGTACTCTAATCTAATTTTGTATAGAAGATGTTAAAGATAAATTTTTGCTTTTCATGCTATCCACTGCCTCAGGCTCTTACATGATATTGTAGGAAAATGCATTTTATTTGAATAACTTTTTAAAAAGTTTGGCAAAGTTTTAAAATTTTTTTAATACTGCCAGGAAAAAAAGAGGGGGGGGGGGTTATTATTTAACCCTCCTGAATAAGCCTCCATTAAAAAACTAGTAGTTTAGTACGTAATTAACTTCATACGACATGGATTTGAGCAGAAAGGTACTTAAAAATAAAATCGACAATTGGAAAAAACTGAAGGTACAGTTATAGTAATTAGCAAGTACATGACTTCAGATGTATTAAAAAATAGGAGCATTAAATGAATTATGGCAAGGTTTGATAATAAACAGACAAATATTTATACATAATCTACAAAAAATAATTTTGCTAAAAATTTGTGTAAATAAATAATGAGTAGTATAAACCCCCCTCTCAAGAACACTTACTTTAAAGGGAGGAGACTAAAATTCAAAACACAGTAGGTATTTTTTTCAAGAATGGAAAATTATACTAAATAAATCAGAAATTTTCTTAAAAAGCCTTCTTCAATCTTTTCATAAAATATATAACATAATTATTACATAACAATTTGCAATCAATATAATGATAGTTTACACGCTTTTTAAAATTCATAAAAATTTTGCGACTTTTTTCAGGGTTTGTTGAAGAGATAGAAAAATGTTTCACCCACCAAATAATTTGGAAAAATTTCAGTCTTCTGTTGATTGACATTAATGTCATCTTTAGGCCTCTGCCTTCCAATCCAAATACCTAATTATTTCTCTTAAAGTTGAAGTTAGTTTGATAAAGTTAAAGAATGAATGCCGCGTAAATCAAAGACTTTGTTTATTGAAAGTTTCTCTACTTTTTGGGAAAGATCGGTATTCGCATTTTTCAGAATAATTCGATTACTCTTAATGGCATCAGGCATTGAATATGTACCATGAGATGTATTATCAACCTAAATTGGTGATTTTAGTGCAATCAATAGGTCCCTTTTGAAGCCCTATAGATAACTCTCGACATCCGTGATTATATGCATTATGCAAAGGTGATGCTTTTTAACAAAAATCAATGAATTCTGGAAAACAAAAGGACCCTGTTAACGTCCCATTATGATGAGTAGGTCCTTAATTGATTAATTAGGTCCTCGCTGATAATATACACCAATGAGCAGGCCCCTACTGATAAAACCACGCAAAGAGTAGGACCCTACTGATGTCATCTGGCCTTGAGTAGGTCCCTAAAGCGCTGGAGTTCAACGATGCTGGTTGATATTTTTCCAAAAGCGTTGAAAAGAGAAACTATTTCATTTCGGGTTAACTGTAATCCACTCTGAAATATATTAAAGGTTTAATAAACAGTGTTCGAATAACTTCTAAATAGGAAAAAAATTTAAAAATTGATTGGTCCGAACGGAAAGAAGTTAGAAAGCATAAAAAATTGCTTTAAGAAATTTCCAGGTCAAATTTTTTTTGATACATAATGAATGACTGGTAAGAAGTTATGAGAGCTAATTTTGCTTGTTTAACATGGTGAAAAGATGAATGAAAGATGAATGAATGAGTGAAGGAATACAATTACCGGAAGAACTAAAGATTAAACAAAGTATTGGATGAAGGAAGGAATGAAAGAGCGACTGAGCGAATAAGAAGACAAATGACAGAATAAAAGAATGGATAATGTAAGACAGGATGAATGAGAGAATGAATTAATATATTTACATGTAGAACAGGTAGAGCTGAAGAATTAGAAGGTTCGAATTCCCCCGAGAATAATATTTTCAGTGCAGTTCCCAAACCAGTAATCTGAACAAATACATTAATTAACAAACCAAAACTTGAAAAAATACTTCTAATGACGGTACGGAAAGGTGGTTTCAAGTGACCCTCCATGTAAAGATGGCAATGCCTGATTCTCAACAGTATCCTTCAAACATTTCTCTGAACAATCATGTGAAAGATATTGTAGTTTTATTGTGTTACAAAGTGTTTAATTCCGATATTTCCTAAATGCTATCCTGCAGTGGAAATGTAAGTAATCTGTTTTCAAAATTAAAAACCTTTATTTCTAATTCATACATGATAAGAAAAAGCTCTTATGGGTACTGTAGTGAATCGGACACTGCCATCTTTGCATGGAGGGTGATTTAAAAACTACGCTAACAGTCCCTTTAATATTAGCGCTTCAGATTAATTCCACATTGATGCTGATAAATGTGAAGTCGTAATGAAGTAGATTTTCTTTTTTTACTTCTCATGACAGTGATTTTCTGAATACAGTTGTGAATCATTATGTGAATAACTATTTAACTGAAGCCAGGGTCATCGCAATTATGTGGTGGATTGGATCCCTTTAATGTGACTTCAATTTTTTTTAAACATTGAGGGGGTAGGTGATATTTTGATGATATGGGGAAAACCTTCAAAATTGGAGATCAAGTCATCAGACGCCATTTTTTTCTTCCTTCTTTTAAATACTTTTTACCAAACACTCGTTTATTTTCTATCATTCAGCGAATAAAACCTTAAAAAATTCAAAAGGGGAGGTATGATTTTTGTAAATGTACAGTATACATACAACCCTGTTTTGTTACCTGTAGTTTACCCCAGAGTTTACATTTATCACAGGAAACACAATCCATCACTCTTGTAATGTTTTTAAAGTGGCCTTGGAACTCAAGCTTCATCTCCTGGAACATTCATATCTTCAGAAACGTCAATATTATCGGAGACAGCAATTATATTGGGAACATCAATAATATCAGGATTCAGGAACATCAATTATATTAGGAACATCAATATTATCAGGAACATCAATATTGTCAGAAACATATTTACTATCAGGAACATATTTATTATCAGGAACATCAATATCATCAGGAAAATATTTATAATCAGGAACATCAATTATATTAGGAACATCAATATTATCAGGAACATCAATATTATCAGCAACATATTTATTATCAGAAACATCAATATCATCAGGAACATATTTATAATCAGGAACATCAATTATATTAGGAACATCAATAATATCAGGAACATCAATTATATCAGGAACATCAATATTATCAGAAACCAAAGATAATATATATATAGATATGCAGGCAGGTAGAAACCTCCTTCCTAAATTGCTTGTAGCAGACAACTAATTTTTGAACCTCTGAGAGAAGGTGCAAGGAGAGACATCTATAGCAAATTGATTACTTTCTATATTCCTTTCTCCCATTGCTGCCATCTGTAGGAAATACGCATTTGTGTTATATGAACATACAGTACGCGTATTGCATCCTGTATAGTTCAAGTGTTGTTATCTGGACCTGTTTGACCAATAAAATTAAATTTCAAGGTAACACAAACATACAGTACGCGTTTTGTTTATGTTATGATCAGATCAGTTGTACTTTGTCCTAGATTCGATGTACTTTTATAGTCATAATTTTTATTTAAATTGCGTTAATTTACGTATGCCATTCAGTACAACTTGCACATTTAAACTTTGTCTAGTCAATTCCTACCTCAGTTTTATTTTCATTGATTAATTTGTTTCATTAAGTACAATATGCAGTATACATTGTTGATACTATAATACGCATTTAGTGTTATCACGCATAAACAAAGTGATACATTAGCAACAATCCAGAGGATAAAATGCCATGCGTACGACAGAGATGGTGCTGTTTGCACCTTTTCTCAAGACCTCAAAATTTATACCTGCCTGCATATCTATATATATATTATCTTTGTCAGAAACATATTTACTATCAGGAACATCAATATCATCAGGAAAATATTAATAATAAGGAACATCAATTATATTAGGAACATCAATAATATCAGGAACATCAATATTATCAGGAACATCAATTATATCAGGAGCATCAATAGTATCAGGAACATCAATATTATCAGGAACATCAATAATATCAGGAACATCAATAGTATCAGGAACATCAATATTATCAGCAACATATTTATTATCAGGAACATCAATAATACCAGGAACATATTTATAATCAGGAACATCAAGAATATCAGGAACATCAATAATATCAGGAACATCAATAATATCAGGAACATCAATAATATCAGGAACATCAATAATATCCGGAACATCAATATTATCAGGAACATCAATAATATCAGGAACACCAATAAAGTACGAGTTTTTGTCAGTTCTGTCAGTATAACTTTGACACAGTTTTGTATCAATTTCTCGAGACATGGCTCAGATTGAATTTTTATTGGTCACGATCAACTACTAATTTTTTAAGGCTTCAGCCTATACCCCCTTACATTTTACCTTTACTATCCCTTAAATTTAAGAAACATAAAAATTATCAAAGTCAACATATATATAAACCAGACTTTTAGCTCTAGTGGCTCTATCTGTGAGCATCTTCTCTTTGTACCATATAAAACAAAAACAAAAAAAGTTCGCGGATTTAATAATATTTTTTTCGCGCAATTTCAAAATTTTTATAAAATCAAAAACTTATGGACACAATTTTTTTTAAGGTCCAACACACAATTTGGGCCTGATCTGTTCAACGGTTTTGACGGTTATTGGATACAATTTGCAAACGGACAGACAGACAAGCAAAGTATATAGATAAATATATATATTTATATATATAAATATATAAATAAATATGTATATGAACGAAGAGCGTTATTATATAGGAAACCAATAAAATGAGAAGGCGGGATAAAATATTTATAATTATAAAAAAGAAGTTCAATAAACCGGATGTTCTTTTAACAAAGTTGTCACGATTATTTAGAATCAGTAATAAAACACACTTGTTTCAAAAATACATCCAGAGATAACTTTTTCAACAAGTAAACTACAAAAAGGGAGTAAGGGGGGGAGGGGAGAATTCTCAATATATTACTGAAATAATTCTAGCAGGAAACAGTCATATTGATTGAAAAAAATTATTATTTTTCTGACCTTTGCTTGCTTCCCGCCAACAAACATTGATGTTTCGTCGAAATGTTCCGGGAATGATTCGACAAGGTTGAGAAGATCTTGAACAGCCAGACTTGTCTCCAAGTCATCATCTTCGCGACCTTAATATAAATTTAATAAACACAATCAAGTCGTCAAGTTTGGTCATTTAAAGAAACCTTAATTTTTTTAACTCGTAATTTCATTGGGGCCTGAACACTGTGGAATAAGAAAACGACTGTACGATTTAAGTTATGCCTCTCGTCCAATAAACATGAAACATAGCAGTTGTACAGTGTGCACAAGCCCAGATCTTAAAAAGTTAATTTTCAGCCTACTGGTGAAACTACTTGCTTAAAAAACAGCATTAAGTACATTAAGCTTAAATTTCATCTTTACATTTCACAGCTGTAAGGGTCATATAATGTTTTAGTTTTATATTTTAGCAAGTAGATTTAGCTTTAAACATATCACAGGATAAGCTATTGGGCTAAAAATGTATGTTTATTTCCAAAGTACTACTGTATTTCCCACCTGCCTACTTAAAGAATAACTAAACAATTGCTAAAATTTTGTGAAAATAGAATTTGGCCACAATTTAAAAATATAACTTGTATTGGAGGGCATATTAAGCGACTTGAGACTTATATCAACATATTTGACTGATTTTCATTTTCAGCTTGAATGTCAGTCACATGCGCATAACAATTTTGATTTTCAGAATTTGGTCTGATCATAGTTTATCAAAGTGACAGTAAGCTTGTAACAGCAGCTTACATAATTGGAAGGCTAAACTTTCTTGACATGACGATCTCCTTTAATATACAGGGTTATTCATAAAGAAAGACTTCACGAGTCGACTATACGGAAATTCCTAGGTCTATAATTACGTTCTTGATGCCCTGGAACTGTAAAAATGTTTCTTTTATAAAAAAATTATTAAGTGCATCATATACAATCTTCATGCAAGGTAGAAACAAAAGTCATTTATCCAATCATCATATTTTAAGAATTTTAGGTCGTCAATAAAGTCTCATACTTAATGGGTAACCCTGTATCAGTGTATAGTGTACTAGCTTGAGAACACAACGTTGCCCAGGGTACTCATAGTTACTCCCATCGTTTACCCGCGCTTGGTCGTAAATAGTTTAGATATTTGTGGACCTGCTCAATTTAGAATCTCAAAACCAAGCTATGAACATTCCCGTGGGTCTCCCGAGTTCCCTAACCAAAATTTGAGGCAAATCGGTCAATGGGGTTTATAAAATATGATCGGAGATCCAAACACACAGACAAAATTAAATTTTAACCTTATATAATTTTTATTACGTAGAGATAAATATGATTATACCTGTAAAGTATGATTGGTTGGCTAGGTATGGAGCTGCTTTAGCCAGTGCTCTTAACTCCAGGAGATAAACAAAATATAAATTCTTTAACCAGTAGGGTCCCTGACCTTCAGTATTCTCAGGATCAAATCTCTAGATATAGGGAAGTATTAATGATAATATTTTTTATCATTTTAGCTTTTAAAGCTAGAAAAATGTTTCTTTTGCTATAAACTTTACTGTTTACATTAGCGGATGTAGATTTTACGTTTTTTTGATACAAAAAACAACATTCAGACAACCCATCTATTTGTAAAGATTGACATAATCTATAAGATAAACATCTTAATTGACAAAGTAATCATGATTTATAAAGCTACACCTTGATCGAATCCCCCCCCCCCCTCCCCGACAAACTTTTTTAGAAATTAAACAATTAAACTGTATGAGAATGTCTGAATACCTGGTGGAAAAGTTCAAGGTTTGGGCCCCATTCTGCAGAGTTGACCAGGAAGGGGGTGCTAGACTCCTAAAAATATTTCACTTTAGAATAATAAAAAACCATATTTAAAAGTATATTTCTAATAAAAAAATGTTTAGAAAATATCTTACTACGGAATAAATTAAATATCCATATTTATCAAGCAAGATTTCTTTTTATGCTAAAGAAAAAAAGCGTATTGCATTTCATACAATTATTTACTTGCCTTAATGGGATAGTTAGCAGCAAGGTGAATAGTAATACTTGAATGCAACCCTAAACAATAATGATCTATATCATACAGATAAAATCAGCGAGAAAAATAAAGTAGAACAACAATAATCTCTGTTGGAAACTTTCAACTTTTAAATGAACAGAATTAGTTAAGTTTATTCTATCTTATTATTTAACCAATGAAGGACGGTCTGACGGAGAATTTTCCAACAAAATTTAGCTGACCCTGTTCAGAAGAATAATGAGAAATTGAGGAAGCCCTGAAAGGAAATAGTATGTGTGACCGGAAATAACTTGTGCAGTACACATTTTAGCGTACACAATTCGTACATCTTTGTTATTACAATTCAGTGTTTGTTTTGCATCCTTAGGATAAGGAAGGCAATATGTATTTAAATTTTTTGTTCCTTTGTACACAATTTTCATAATTTTTATTCAGCGCTTGTTTAGGGGGGGGGGGGGGGGGGGGGGGTGGAGGGACTTGTTTTTATTTTTATTATTCAGACCGTCCATTTAAAAAAATCTAACTCGTTGTCGTCTCTTTCGTTAGAAGTTAATTTCCCTTAAATTCTTCTAGATTATATGACTCAAACTCCAATTCTAACTGAAATGTAAAGAAAGGAGAAAAATAAAAAGCCCGGTCAACCTACCTGAGATTGCCCTAAAGAACGCACGCTTCTCCAGGCACAGTGCGTTCAGCTTGTCTGACCTGAAGGAGGAACTGAATGCTTCCATAGGGTTCAGGCCTAGAGGGAGAAAAACAAAGTTTCAATGTAATTCTAATCAATGAGAGCGTTGTGTCATATTCACATTAGTACCCATTAAACCTTTGACCGATTATTGATATTTAGTTTATAGAATTCGCAAAAAAAAATATTTTCCTTAATTTTTGAAAACCGCGTTTAAAATTAAATATTCGGAATTCACGAGAAAAGTCAGCTGTGTAGAGTTCACAATGTACTTATACTTAGCAGTTTCCGGTAATTAAACCATTTAGATATGAACATACCAACTACTCTGCTGTCGATTATTTGATTCACAATGTACTTATACTCAGCAGTTTCCGGTAATTAAACCATTTAGATATGAACATACCAACAACTCTGCTGTCAATTATTTGACAAAAGTTTAATGGTACTGTTTAGAAGTGCCCCTCTATAAATGGCAGGTCATTGGTCATTTGAAATTATGCCTCCAGTCCTTTAAGAATAAGTATATTTCATAAACATGAGTTTACCTGTGAGACTAAAGCAGTTTTCTTCATAAATAGATTTCCAGATACTTCGGCTTGCAATTCCAGAATACCCAGTATACCTACACAAATAAAATATTATATTCCAGAATAATTTAAAATTCGGTGATGGTGATGGACCAAACCTCTGTAGAGTAAAAAAGTAGATATAGATATATATTCCGGTCTAGGTTGACCCTTGTCAGTTCTAACGATATAATTCAAAATACAAATTTGGGCTGTCAAATGGACATAAAAGATAATTTGCAAATATTCATTTAAAAAAAAATGTTTTAAGACAATTATTATTCCTTGAGATTGTTTCTGATATAAAGGTTAAAAACAAACTGTGTAGATGTGTGAGTATAAAGTGATGGTGGGGGTCGAACTAATTAACGAACTTTTGCGTAAATCGGGGGGAGAATACCCAGAATCCAGAATACCCAGTGTACCAAGTCGTCGCATATATCAATACAATGAAGACGACTTTCGATTTCAATTTGATTTACATCAAGTTTTTAAATAGCATGTATAGAAACATGGAACCAAAGAGAAGTCGTCGATAAAAAGCTTCTCTTTGTTTACTTGTCAACTTGTAATTCGAAAAAAAGCTTGTAAACAATAAAGAAGTCGTCTTTATTGTATTGATATAATCGCCCACCACTGTACTGTAGTGTATGTAGTATAGTTTTTCATACCACGAATATCTTTAAGTTTTCTCAAATATAATCTTTAATACTTGTAAGAGATTCTAAACCAACGAAATCATAATATCTTTAAAAATGTCCTAATTGAAGAAAATTTCATGTTTTTGTCCTTAACATTAACTTCTATTTCTGAATTAATCTTTTATCAAGCATGAGGCAACTTATGCATCATTTTATCAGTGCTTACTGCTTAGGATCCATTTAATTTTGATGCGGATCCGGATCCGAATCCTATATCCGCACTAGAAACACATGGATCCGGATCCAGGTTATTTCCATATTTACTGATTTTTTTGACATACAATTTTTTTTAACATAGCAAAATTTTCAAATTTTTTGTCTATTTTTTCTCTCTTATTTTTATGCTTTAACATGATGAACCATTTAAAAATCAGGAAATTTTTATAATCCCTCTTTTTTCAATAGTTCAGATTTGGAATTTGAGAGTAAATTTTTTTTTGGCAGTTTTTTGTTGATATTTTGCCCCATGGATCCGGATCCGTGGATCCGCATATTTTTGCGAATTTGGATCCTAAGCACTGCATTTTATCTTACCTTTCTGGATTAAGTGTGAGATCAACATGAATACAGTCCTCACAGGATTGATCTAATATATTAAATGGTAAAACCAAAAAAAATAATATCACACTTTTCAGCAAGAACATAAGATACCTTTTATAATAGACTTGGGGGTTTTTGATGAGATGAAAACTGGACATCAAAGGTTAGTTTTTTTAATCCTTTTTGATAATTGTTCCTCAAAGATTAAACTATTTCCCTAAAAATTACTTATTTCTCTGAGAAAAAAATTCCAGAAAATATGAAGGTCCTATCATGAATATTATCACAAGATCTTAGATCAAGTAAAATTTATAAAAAAGAATAAAAATTGACCTGTGATATCACAGAACTGTGAAGATTCATCATGCATTCTCCATTCATCAATATCCCTGCTAGCAGTCTCAGACAGCGTAGAATCTACCTAAACAAAATAAAGAGCGTAGAGTCTAAATAAGAAAAGCGTAGGGTCTACCTAAACAAAATATAGAGCGTTAAGTCTACATAAGAAAAGCGTAGTGTCTACCTAAACAAAATATAGAGCGTTGCTAAGAATAGCGTAGGGTATACCTAGACAAAATAAAGCGTCGGGATTAACAATACTTGGATTGCAAGAATAAAAAGTAAAAAAAGCTTTGAATTAGGATGCCCCTCGTTCTTATTCCCCCTCGATTGTGATATAGTTTTATTATCTTCTATATAATAAAACAAAACATTTGTTTATATATATGTTGCCTATAGCCGGCCGGACCGATTGGGCTGAATTTTTTTGTGAGCACTCATGGGTGGCCGGGGGGTGTTATAGGCTAAAAAATCGAAACTATTATTTCTAAAAATTAAAAAAAAATCTACGGGAAACGCACGGCCCTTCAGCTAGTATTAAATAAATTTAACTGGAGTGTTGAAAATTTTATTTGACACTTTTTTTTTAATTAAAAGAAGTTTGTTAAATACTAATAGAATATTAAATTTGACACTTGACTACAAGGTTCATTGGATCTGAGATATTTATTTTCTTGAGCTAAATAAATAATTATTGGAGAAAATTTGTGAAATTGGGAAAGAAGAATGAAAAAGGGTGCGAAAAACTTGCCAGTTGACGTTAAATCTTTCGTTCTTTCCCCAGATCATCTAAAATAAAAAAACCCTGTACTGGATTTATCCGCTCTCAACGAAAATGTCTCGGTCAATGTTATTATTGTTAACAATTAACTTACATACAAAGTACAACGACCTGTAAATTACTGCAGAACGTACCGAAAGCTTAGTTGAGGCACATTGTTAACGAAACGAACGTTTTTCAAAAAAGATTTAATTTAATTTATTTAATAATTTTATTTTATTTTATTTTACTTATTTTAAAGTAAAAACCTGTCCAAGAGTGTCCGAAGCATCATCGCAGTTTTGAGGTCGTTGAGCTGAAGCCGAATATTTATTCTCCAAAATCTGAAATAACAGGAAATCTTTAATTTTGAAACTAAAGTTTTTTTTACAATTTAGAACTTGTTACTGAATTTAGATTTATAAGTTACAGTTAGGGCGGTACCCGTAAGCCTTTGAAACCTATTCAGAAAAAAAATGTTCTTAAAAATATCAACATTATGTCAATAAGCCTCGAAAACCATTTGTTAATAACTTGGAAATAATACGATGTTGGACGGCTTAGGTAGAGAAACATAACAATAATAATAATGATCACAGTAAATCTAATTTCATAACTTTAAGCAGGGGTGTATACTCTATATATTGTTGGTAAATCATTCCCCCCCCCCCTAAAAAAAAAAGTTAGGTATATTCCAAGGTTTTTTTTCGCAAAATTGTGGAAAATCAAATTTTATTTGACAAAAAGTTTCAGAAAGGGTGAAAAAAAATGCCCTTTAATGCCCAAATATTCTTCTCTCCCAGATCTTCAAAAATCGTTCCCCCCTGAATAATTCTGTAAAATAAACACCCCTGACTTTAAGTATATGTTGATTAAGATGCAATAAATGTTTAAATCAAAAGTAATTTATGTCTCTACCTGCGTATGACCAGTTTCAGCTATTTGTCCATTTAGTCCCGGAGGAAGGTCATCTGCAGAACAACTTTTCACCTGAAGTATCGTTAGAATAAACAAAAAGGAGGCCCGCGATTTAAAAGCTTCGGCTCGGGTCGTAATTCCTTAAACCCAGCTTTAAGACCAAATATTAGACTCAAATCTGACGATAACTTGTGTCACGTTATTGACAGCTGCGAAATCTTAGGCTCGACTCAGGAGTTAGGCCCAGAGAAAATAAAACCGACCTTGGTTGGTTCTTATAAAAACCCGGAATGCGCCAATAAAATAGAATATTAAACCGGTTTTTTGAACTCAACTCTGTAGAAAATAAGATGCAGCTTGAATCCGAAAGCTCAAGCCGTAAATAAGGCCCAACGACAGCTTAGATCTGAGTCGTATTTTCTTGAATTTTTTAAAAAGCTGGCTGAAGGCATTAATCCGTATCGTTTGTACTGCGCTAGTAAATTCTGGATATCTTTACAATCAATGAGATATATAGCTAAATTATAAAACAGCTGTTTCGCTGGTTTAACAATTGAGTTTTACATAAAAGTTTCCAATGTGGATATTCAGTTTAGTTCGAGGTGCGGTAGATTAGCTAGGCGTTCTTAATCAAAAGTTCTGACCGTACGTGATAATAGCAAAAACTAAGGTCGAAACTTTTGAATGATCTACAGAACAGTTGAAACGATTAAGTGATTATTCCATGAAAAAAAAACGACTAGGATTTTGGCATTTTCTGATTAGCCAAGGCCAAGAAAAAATTACAAAATCAGTAAAATCTGAAAAAATGATAATTTGAGAAAGTAATCATAACTAAAATATAATTAGACAAAGCACGAGTCTTGAAGAAAGCTTGAAATATTCAACAATAACAAATGTCTCTAGATCAGTCAGATCCCACAATTAAAAGCCATAATTTGGAAACAATTAGATATTGTGTTTCTAGTGTCAGGTTTCAATTAGATTATGTACTTGAATGATATCAATTTTAATTTTGGGAAAAATATGAAAACAATATTTAATTAGTACTCTGCAGGGGGGGATCAGGNGGGTAACCCTTCTTAACAAATTACTGTGTACTCACCTGGTACATGGAAAAATTGTGGTAAAAATACTATAAAATAAAAACAAACAGACCTGGCAGTACGAACTGGTGCATTTCCCAGAAGAAGGAAAAGAAAATCTGCATTTCTTGTGCGGTTGGTATTGAAAATATCTAATTCATTCAAAATTAGCTCCTTGTGGTTTTTTTGGAAAATATTTTAATCCGAATACGATCAGGACCGGACACTTAAATGAATCGAGTTTTTAACTAAATCTTGCTTTGTGCAAAAATTTACCAAAACTTGTTAAAACTCGAACTTAATACTGTTAACGGTATTTTCAAGATATTTCTTTAAGACTAAAATGAATACTATCATGCAATACATTGGACCATGTAATAACAAAAACTAAATAGAACAGGACTGTAGACTAGGGTAACAAACAAACAGGGTTTAAGTTTTATTTTTGGGTGCATAGTTCATGGGTGATGTGGCATTTTGTGAAAATTTGAGGTTGATCGGAACATTGCAACAGGTGGAAGTCGTTTTCAGGAAAAAAATCTCGATTTTTGTCAAGGATAGGGGGACAATTAGACACTTAGAGACATTACATGTTAAAGAGGGTGCATTTGTTTATAAAACTTGAGGCTCAAATTTTGCATTCTGGCCCTTTAAACGGACCTCTAAAAATTTGGGACCGGAAGTCATTGACCTCCATCAAAAATCAAGATTTTGCAGGCTTGCAGCCTCTTCAAAATGTAGTGTCACAAATACGACATTGTCCCCCCATCCTTATTCCTTTATCGAGATTTTAGTTATAATTGAAGGCATTCCGAAAAATGCTTCGCTGCAGAATTTCTTCTGGAATTTTTCATGAAACTACTTCTACATAACCTTATCAAGTTAGAGCAAAACATGTTTTTGCATTTCAATACTAAGGGTTGACATCACCCAGAGAACCTACGCACCTTTTGATTTTATGACTTTCATTTCTTTGTATGTCACCCTACTGTGACATAATTGTAAGTGATCCTTCTTATGAATGACTTGAATAACCGACCGGCGTTTTTCTGTCATAAAAATAGTTGACATTTCAATTTTCTTGGTATGTTTCTGCGCATAAATTCGCAAGTCAGAATTTAAAAAATATAGATGGAAAATAAAAGAATATAGACTTTTTTTATTATGAGAAGTTTAAAATGGTGCCATTGTGAACCAGACATGCATTGATGGTCACTTAACATAACATGGACAATCCCAGCAACTTATAAACTAACAGTGTTGATCTCAAAATTTTATTTTTGTTAAAAAAAGCTGTGTAATTCTGAATTGCCTAAAGAACTCTTTGCTAAGAAGGCTCTTGATCCTGGGATATATTTTCTTGTTGTTGAAATCATCAACTGTATCCACCTTACAGGAACAATCATCTATCTGACCTAAATATCAAAAGGAATTGTTCACGTAATTCTAAACGAATATCAAAGTTAGATTGTAACACTAGTTCGATTTACAGCAAAAAGTCGACCAAAACTGCAAAATTAATCGTTCTTAATTTCTAGAATCTTTGATATTTTCATGGAGGTGTATACTGTATATTTTCTGGAGGTGTATACTGTATATTTTCTAGAGGTGTAAACAGTATATTTTCTGAAGGTGTATACTGTATATTTTCTGGAGGTGTATGCTATATATTTTCTGGAGGTGTACACTGTATATTGAAGGAGTATACTGTATATTTTCTGGAGGTGTATACTGTATACTTTCTGGAGGTGTATACTGTATACTTTCTGGAGGTGTATACTGCATAATTTCTGTAGGTGTATACTGTTTATTTTCTGGAGGTGTATGCTGTCTATTTTCTGGAGGTGTATACTGTTTATTTTCTGGAGGTGTATGCTGTCTATTATCTCGAAAAAAAATTCCCCCCTCCAAGAAGTTAATTGGACTTATTTCTTTAAGGTTTTATATGCTGAATTGGGGAAATTAAATGATTTACAGGGGGAAAATAATTAAATTCTATGGTAAACCATGTATAAAAGTAAAAGAAAAATTTACACCCCTGCCTTATCTCGAGTGCATTTTAAAAAGACGATTTCTCGAAAAGTAGAGCGGTGAATATAAAATTCTGACATTGAAAAAGATGTGTTTTTAATAAAATGCACAAAATTATTTTTTCAGTACAAAAAATCCTAACGTACCTTCCAGCTTACAAAAGCACTGATCAGAGAGGGGGCGGAGGGTAGAAAACGGGCTCTTTTCATCCCCCTTTTTAGGAGCACTTGTCGTGCCCCCCTTGTCCCCAGGCTGGAACAGTGGCTGTATTCCATCTTTACAGAAGATCGAAACAATAAACAGCGGTAGAATTATTAGTAATGTGTTCACCTATGGTTCAGTATTATATAAAAATCTTATAAAACTTTAAATATCAGATTTTCAGACTTTTAAATGGAGCCTTCTTGCTGTAATGAAAAACTTATTGATGTTTGGAAAGAATTTTTTCCCTATAAATTTGATACCTAGGCTTTTTGGGCGCTCTACCTACACCTATCTTCTTTTTCAATTGTGAACATGTTGTCTTTGAATACTTGTTAAACAAAAGCAAATTTCGCGAATTTTATAAAAAAAATTCTCGGAAATAATTTTTAAAGATCTAATTTTGTTAGAGGCAAATTTTTGAAAAGGGGATGGTGGAGTTGGCACATTTGATGTAGGNCTGTTAGATGCGCACGTACATACGTACGATTTCTGAAGGATCAAGATCGTCGAGCCAAGTGGAATCTATATCAAGGAAATCGCAGGCCTGTCAATTTTGTACATGATTTTAGCAAAATTATTTTATGTTTTATTATTTTAGGGTTAGGTTAAGTTTAGAAAATTTATGGGCCGAGCGGTGTGGCTAGGACAGGCTAGGAGTGAGGGAGAGGGTCCAAAAATCGTTCTCTAGGAAATTACCACAATTGGGCCCGACCAGTTCAGCCGTTTGGACATTTATTAGTTACAAATTAACAGCCAAACAAAGATTATTAATAGATTATTTCTTCATCCCAAATTTTTTTTCAACCTAAGAAATGTGGTAGTTAGTAAAATGATTTTCTAAAAAGTTTCTAAAATAGAGGGAACATTTTTTTAAGAGTGCAGGGCAGCTAAAGGGGGGGCTAGTTTCATTAAAATAAAACCATTACACATTTTACAGAAAATATGTTATAATCTTTATTGAATATAATAAACCATTCCTTGTGAGTTCTCATTGTCGTTGATTACCATTCAGTCCAGAACTGATTTAAATATGTTCAAATACTTCACTGTTCACTATTCAAAGTTCAAATGAATTGTAGAAACTGTTCGTCCATGAACAAGGTTAGAAAATCCACCAAAGTCACTTCAATTCAAATCGAGATTTTTCGGAATTCTTCACTTTTTCCGTAGAAATTATGTTCTAATCTTCAATTTTATAGGAAAAATAGAATTTGTACGCCTTTTCTGATATCTCTGACGCAGAAACAGACGGAAGTGTGAATTATCTGTTGTCTGCCTGAATGTTGGAAGTAGGAGTGTACGCAATATATCCTATAAACTCGAAATGTACTGTCACGGCAGGCAGAGAGGGGTGGTGACAGTAATTTGTAGATTCAGATTTAAAATTAAGGAACTAATAGACAATTTTATACATACAAATTAAAAATATTAAAAAATTAATAAAACAAATAAATTTTTTAAATAAAATTATTTCAAGGACAAATTTGGGGAATATTAATGTCCCTATTCTAATTAAATTTCTACTTTTCATCATCTTTTTATCAAAAAAATATTTAGATGAAAATGTTAGATCTAGTACTAAAATATTTATTTCTAGAAAAGTCCCACGAATAATAAAGTTGACTAAATCCAGTTCAATTGTATTTACTTGTGAAAGCTGTATTATAACGTTGCAGTGCAGCATGTATATACGTGTAACAATATCGTTGGGCGTAACTATGGTGAGGAAGGGGGGTAATTCCTTTATTATGGGAACCTCAGGTAATGGGCCGTATCAGGGCGTATGCAGCATTTTATCCAGGGGGAGGGGCTCAGTCCCTATTGCCCCCCCCCCACCCATTTAAAAGTTAAGATGAAGCCCGAAGAACAAATTAAAAATTTAGTTTGACAGAATTAAGGATTATTAGGTCGTCTTTATCGTCGTATCCTTTGTGGGTAACCCAGTATGAATAAATGTCGCTAAATTTTAGAGTTTGTTACATTCCAACCAAACTATATCTTAACGAATCTGATGTAACTATTTATAAATGTAATTAATTTAATTGTAATATTAGATATTCTAGAACATTGCTATATTTTTCATACTAATTTTCAAGCACAAAAACAGACAAGAAATTTCAATATCTAGCTAAATAATGATCAAAAATCACATATTATTTTAACATTATTCTTTTAAGAATCAGATTATGTTTACAAAAAAACTTAAAATTTTACAATAAAAAACTATTTTTAAGTTACAAAAAAGAATGATTTGAGTAAGTATCATGTTTTTTTGTGTGTGGTGTGCGAATGTATGTGTGAGTGTAAAGATGACTTTAGACAACAGACATAATTGACAGATTCTGTTTGTGTCCATGTTTATGTGTATCCATTCTGATTGGAAGCTTGGTAAAATAAAAAATTAAAATCGAAAGTCGTCTTCATTGTATAGATATAAACGACGACGACTGTATTTAAGCTGAAAGAATCCTACCTGGTGATTTTGTATTGTATTTTCCTTCCATCTTCTTATAATCTTCTCACCTAAATATTAAAAACGTGATTTTTATTAATCTTCGATTCTTTTATCTTTTTATTTAAAATCAACATTTCTATACTTCTATACAAATGTTAGTTTTTCATAAAAATGTCAGGTTAAAGTCAAAGTTTCTATGAGAGGTGGCGTAGCATTGACAGTATTGAAGAGGGGGTGGCGGGGATTTAGTTCTTAGTCGGTTCTGGTCCGGTTCTAGTAATAATCTTATTTCTTTCTTTGCCACCATCTAATTGTATTTTGTGTAATAAATATGCGTGTAGGTTTTTCATTGTGTTTTAAAGAGCACAATTTTACCATATATAGTTTCCCCCCTCGGGCCATGTCTGTGCCCACACAAATTGTTTAGAACATTGTGAAGTTTGCATTCATTGTTATCCTTTTGTGCATTTTTATTCAAACAAGTCTAAATTTTCTTTTTATCTAAAAGCAAACAATAAGAATTTTAAATTGACCCAAATATTGCAAATCAAGTTGTAAAACAAGAGTAGACAAGATTGAGAACCCTGCTTTAATAAATTTAAGCCGCGTCTCAAATCCGCCAAAAACCGGTTTCAATTGAGCGCCTGCTTTAATCATGAAACATTGAATACAATTTTAGGTGGAACCTAACATATTTGAGCCACGTCTCAAATTTAAGCCGCGGCTTAAATTCTTTAAATTCAGCCTCTGAAAATATTTATATGGTTCTATACGAGTCCAACAATCAAAATTTGATGCACCTTGACCAAGAGTTATGGAAAAAACAAACAAAGTACAAAGAAACCGACTTTAAATATGATTAATACACATTCCAGAAATATATGGGCTAAAACATTCATGAACAACATTAGAGTTAAGAAAAATGAAAAGGTAAATAGCTCAACAAAAAATCTTTCTTCTTACAATTTAATTCTATTATGCGTGGCAAAAATTGATAAATAAACTAAGGTTTTGCATTTTATTTAAAATCAGCGCGACAACCTATGTTAAAAATTCCAATTTTCAAAAGTTTTTTAAGGTTTAATTAGAGTATTGAATTAGAGTATACTTGAATATAACTTCTGTTGGTTATTTTTTCGCATTAATTCTCAGCAGTCTTTTTGTTGAAAAAATGCTTTTAGTTTAATTAAAATTTCGAATTCAAAGACTATTTTTCTATTTAAATTTTTTCCTATTATTATTAATGTAAAAAATATTTTTTTACATGTAAGTTTGAAGTGAGTAGAACTGGAAAGTCAGAAATACACTTTTGGTAACTATAGTCCCCGAGACTGCAGTAGATAGATAGATGGTTGGACATGGGGGGGGGGGTACATCAGTTAACATTGAACAGTTGGTAGATCATCACCATTATTTTCGAAAGGAAGTACCAGTAATTATTTATTAGATTTTGTGTGATAAAAGATCTAAGCGAAAATAAAATAAGAGCTTTATATTAAAAAAATACATTTTGGCTTGAAAATTCAGAATTCTCCAGTTCTAACGAAATACGAATTCTATCAAATTTGTTCCCCCCCCCCCCGTAAATTAAAAACGATTGGCTTCTTTGATACATTAAAGGTACACATACAGTCCAATTACCTTGCGAGTACTTCTTTATCTCTCCTTCAAACAAAACTAGCAGAAAAAAACAGCAAATTAATTCTTTATAGTTTCAGATTTAAAAAGTGTTATAGTTCTGAGTTCTAAGGGTGGGCTACGCTCCCCCTTTCAATTCAATTCAATTCAATTCAATTCAATTCAATTCAAGAAGCTAGGGAAGTCCCGTGGACTCCTCGATCTAGCTGGGGTACGCCATCACGATCCCGTCTAGATCAAGGCTTTTCAGCCTGACATAGTTTACAAGTCTAGGGGGCACTGCCCCCTTGCCCCCCCGTGTACGCCCTTGATTGCTATGAAAACACTTTTTGACGAAAATTAATATGGCCAATGAAGTTCAAGCAACAAATTTGCGAAAAAGAACGAAAAAATTGAAAAATAAAAATATTTATAATCTATTTTCTACAGGACGGATATGAATTAAAAAAAAACAAACAAATCCTAAGAACGGGTTTTTACCATATGTTTATAAAAATATGATTTATAAGATATTAAACAAAAAACTATGGTAAGAAATATGGAATTGCATATAATTTATCTTTTCAGGAATTCTGAAAACTTTTTAAATCGATAGTTTATGTATAATTTATAATATGTATGTATTTAAACGGCTAACATTCTTATTTCTTAAATTTTTTTGTTTTCTGAAGAGAATTAAAAGTTTGTAAATCTGTTTGTTCATTTTCGACAAGTATGGAGTAAAAACTATAATAAAATTTTTATTATTTCTTCAGAAGGAATGTTATGTTTGTGGTGCACCATTACAACACAGAAACCCTGATTATTCATTATATTAGAAAGATGAATGGAAAAGAAACAGGTTTTTTAATAAAAATAATCCTAAAACTTTTCACTCAAAAAAACATAAACTTTAAGTAATTTCTGATAAAATTAGAACTCATTTGAATCATCTAATGTTACATATTTTTAGGTCATTTCGAAACAAATTTAATATAAAAACAAAAAAAAATGCTTTTTTTTAATACTAATATTTTCAGTTTTTAATATATTTATAAAATAAAGCGTTTCGCTCATATATTCAAAGGCTAATTTTTTTCTTCAAAATGCTTTTTTAATTAGAAAAATAGTAATTGCACAGACAACGCAAAATCAGAGAAATGGTTTGTATAAATGTACCTTTATAATGTAAAATTTATTACATTAATTTCTTAAAAACTTCTTTAAAGCTGTTCTTAGTTTGAGTGTAGGGGTGGGGGGTGTATTGCAAATATATCCAATTGGTTTCTTAGAATAAAATTTCTACTGGTAAATATTAAATCTGAACTAATCTAAAACAACAATGTTCCTCTCGGCCATATTTTAACTTAACTTCAAACATTGTTTACTTGTTAGGGTACAGGACTACCCACAAAGGATGAGACTTCACGAGACGACTGTACGAATTTATACTGTCGGTTTCCTAATATTCAGGATTCCGGGCAACTTTTTTCTTTCTTTGACAAATCATTAAATAAGCCTTTAAAAGATACTATTAAAGGCAAAAGACTTCATTTGATTTAGGAATTGTCATATTTTCAGGTCGTCTCTCCAGTCTTATTGTTTGTGGGTAACCCAGAACCCTGTATTATAATTAAATCTAAATATAATTTTCGAAAATCCCATCAATTTGCACTCTTTCACGTGCATTTAAATTGAACCCCCCCCCCCCCCTGCCAAAAAACCCATATTATTTTACCTACTTTGACAGCAAAGGGAGAGGTTATAAACTTTGATAATATCTGTTATAATTATTACTGCAGAAAAATATATGATTTGAATTGATTTGTTTAATAATAATACAAAAATATTCGAGAAAAAATATCTTGGACTTTAATAGGACACTGTAATGAATGTGAAAACTGGCAACTTCAGAACTATTAATATTACAATGCTCCTAAGTTATATAAGTATATGTATAGCCTGGCAAATAAAGAAGAAATTCAGATTTTGTAATATTCCCACTGAAATTGGTTAATTTTAATTATATCTAATATCAGTGAATTCTTAATTGTGCGTAATCTAGAATTATGAATGATCTTAATTGATCTCTGTTGACCTTTATGTTTTATGATTATGAATGATCTTAATTGATCTCTATTGACTTTTATGTTTTATGATTATGAATGATCTTAATTGATCTTTATTGACCTTTATGTTTTACGATTATGAATGATCTTAATTGATCTCTATTGACCTTTATGTTTTATGATTATGAATGATCTTAATTGATCTCTAATGAACTTCATGTTTTATGATTATGAATAATCTTAATTGATCTCTATTGACCTTTATGTTTTATGATTATGGATGATCTTAATGGATCTCAAATGACCTCTATGTTTTATGATTATGAATGATCTTAATTGCTCTCTAATGAACTTCATGTTTTATGATTATGAATGATCTTAATTGATCTCTAATGACTTTTATGTTTTATGATTATGAATGATCTTAATTGATCTCTATTGACCATTATGTTTTATGATTATGAATGATCTTAATTGATCTCTATTGACCTTTATATTTTATGATTATGAATGATCTTAATTGATCTCTAATGACTTTTATGTTTTATGATTATGAATGATCTTAATTGATCTCTGTTGACCTTTATGTTTTATGATTGTGAATGATCTTAATTGATCTCTAATGACTTTTATGTTTTATGATTATGGATGATCTTAATTGATCTCTATTGACCTTAATGTTTTAGGATTATGAATGATCTTAATTGATCTCTATTGACCTTTATGTTTTATGATTATGAATGATCTTAATTGATCTCTATTGACCTTTATGTTTTATGATTATGAATGATCTTAATTGATCTCTGTTAACTTTTATGTTTTATGATTATGAATGATCTCTATATTGATCTCTATTAACTTTTATGTAATAGAATTGTGAATGATCTTGATTGATCTCTATTGACCTTTATGTTTCAGAATTATAAATGATATTTATTGATCTCTAATGACCGTTATAAATGATCTCTAATGGCCTTTATGCTCTAGAATCATGAATGATCATGAATGATCTTGAATGATCTTGAATGATCTTGAATGATCTTGTATGATCTTGAATAATCTTGAATAATCTTGAATAATCTTGAATGATCTTGAATGATCTTGAATGATCTCTGATAATCTCTAATATTCTCTATGTTTTAGAATCATGAATAATCTCTGATGATCTCTAATTATCTCAAATGATCTCTAATGATTTCTAATAATCTCCGATGATCTCAATGTTCTAAAATTTTGATTGATCTCTATATTCTAGAATCATGAATGATCTCTGATGATCTCTATGGGTTCTGGGTGCACAAAGCAAGATGATTCAGTAAACTTTGACGAGGAAGTTAAGGTTCTTAAAATCATAATAATTCATAACTATCTAACAATCCAAACTTTATCAACCAACATAAAAGTCTAAATTAAAACAAATATTTTAGAAACTTTTTTCATCCTTTAAAACTTGTGAAATGTACTAATTCTACAGGATGACGAGGGAAACTTGGATGAAATTGATAAAAATAATGGTAAGTTTAGAACATGAAGGGATTAATTAATATTACACAAATATTAATTGATATTACACAAATATTAATTAATAAGTAAACTCGTATCAGAACTTTTTTTCAGACATCAACCATAGTAAATCTTTCCTTAAATACGCGGTATTTATAAAACCCCAATCAATGGCCCTGAAGCTGAGCTGGGAACTTCAGAATTGGTCCATGGGCTCGAGTTATATGATCGGCCATCCAACCGAACAAACTGAGATTACTACTTTATTATGCAGGAAACATGACAGGGGAGACAGAATCTTTATCTTCCAACTGTTCCAGTAGACCTCCAACTCCCTTTAGTAGACCAGTTACAGCGGCAATAATAGCAAGGCCAAAGGTTAGAGAAGATATTAATGTAACGGTAATTTCAATTGGCCCTCCATGCAAAGATGACAATGCCCGATCTACAACTTCTAAAAAAGCTTTGTCTGATCAATTATGAAGAAGATATCAGTGTTTATTTTTTCAGTAATGGTCTCTCTGAAAAAAGTGACTCGCGCATTTCTACACGGGGAAACATACAAGAAGTATCACAATTAAACACTTTTAGAACTAGGAAAATGACCATATCTTCCACATTATTGATCAGAAGAAGGTTTCAAAGGTACTGTTGTGAATCGGGCATTGCCATTTGTAATGGAGAGTCACTTAAAATTAGACTCACAGTCCCTATGAATCCTAAAATTAGACTCACAGTCCCTATGAATCCTAAAATTAGACTCACAGTCCCTATGAATCCTAAAATATTTCCCAATAATACTGAAATCTCATTTCAACTACCATACATTGCCGGTGACTTCCTTGAAGATGACAATTATTTGAAATAACACAAAGCAAAAATGTTATGTATCAGTATAAAATATTAATTAATGGTAATCCATGAAAAAAATTAATTGTGACAGAAGAAAGAATAATTTTTCTTTGTCTTTCTTTAAGTACATACTTGGCTATACACTCCTTAAACTATTATCCATTTATAATTTAACATAATTATTTATTCTATTGTGTGCTGAGTGCAATAATCAATTTCTCAACCAATCCTCCAAATTTTACTTACAGACAACCACCATTTACGAACAAGAGGTAATGGGTGAAGAAGCTGGTGATGAAGGTAGAGATGGGCGCGTTAAGCTTTTATTCTATGTTCATTCATTGTTCCTGAACGACCAAATTCGTTTTTTTAATCGTATAACAACAAATTCATTTCGTTCGTTCTCAAAATTATCATTCATTTCCTTCTATTATTTTCTTGTTTTTTTTTTACTGAACAAAGTTGAGTACAATCGTTTGCTAAGTAAATAAAAATATCGTTTTTTTTTCTTCAAAAGTTTGTTCCAAAAAATACAATCGTTTTTTTTAAAGTTTGTTTAACAAAATCGCTAGATCAGTAAAAACAACACTAGCCATCGTTGATAAAAATGCCCATCTCTAGATGAAGGTGTGGAAGATGGTGAAGATGTTAGAGATGAAGAGGTTGAGGAGGAACCAATCAACATGATAAATATTGAGGAACAACCGATCCATCATCGAAGACATCTGCTCAGATCACAGAGCAGGTAAATAAGAGATTGCCGTAGTTGACATAATTTGGGACATTCTAGCGATTAGCTATATATATATATTAAGTAGTAATCTCTGTTTGTTTGATGTCTGATCATTACTGAAGAACCCCTTGAGCGATTTGCCTCAAATTTTGATTGGTGAACTTGGGAGAACCACGGGAGTGTTTTTAGTTTTGAAATTCTAAGTTGAGTAGGTCGACTGTTAAAGTGAAAATAGCTAAAATCGTAATCTAAGACCAAGAGCGGGTGAACGGTGGAGTAAATATGAGTAACTTGGGAAAGGCTGGGTTCTCAAGCGAATCATATACATATATAAATATATACATTTTATTGCAACTGATGATTGGGTTAGACCCATAAAACATTTTGTCTTGGAAAAAATATATATTTAAACATCTAAAATGTATATTTAAACTGAGTTGAAAATACTATATACACATATATCTATATATTTTAATGTATATTAACAATTTTAGCTGTAAATTGTTGCTCTTCAGGTTCCCATTTTTCATTGTTATATACAGAAAAAATATCTGAGTATTTTCCTGTGAAAATTGCATTTTCAAAAATGTGATTATTCTTTCAAAGGGAAAATTTTAATTTTGACAGTTCATAATCTTTCCCCTGGGTCATGTAAGCTGCCACAAAAAACATTGGGCCAGATAAATAGGCTCAGCTGTTTTGACGTTTATTGCATACAAACAAACAAACAAAAAGAAAGACAGACAGACAGGCGGGCAAAGTATAAATATAGAATTTAAATATACTAAGAGGTGCCTTCTGGCCTGAGTGGCTTATAAACAAAGCCAGTTCTTGTAATTATTACCTATGAAATAATGCAAAAACAATTATAAATAAACAACATTTTGTTAATATTATTGATTTTGTATTATTTATTGCTTTGTCATTGCAGTAAAAATATAAGTTGCAAATAACTAATACAAACAATTCCTGAAATTGTTAACACAGGCCTGACAATTTCTAGTTCAATGCAAAAATTTAAACTTTGATTTCAGATTACTAGGCTTTAAAAGCGCTTTGCCAATTTTCAGATTTTTATGGATATTTCATTACCCTAAATTTCAAAGATAATTTTTTGTTCGAATTTGTATTTGTATTTGTAATACACCCTGATTTTCAGGAATAATTCCACACCCTGTATTTCAGGGATGATTTCGCACCCTGTATTTCAGGGATGATTCCGCACCCTGTATTTGAAGGATAATCCCACACCCTCTATTTCAGGGATGATTCCGCACCCTGTATTTCAGAGATGATTCCGCACCCTGTATTTCAGGGATGATTCCGCACCCTGTATGTCAGGGATGATTCCGCACCCTGTATTTCAGGGATGATTCTGCACCCTGTATTTCAGGGATAATTCCGCACCCTGTATTTCAGGGATGATTCCGCACCCTGTATTTCAGGGATGATTCCGCACCCTGTATTTCAGGGATGATTCCGCACCCTCTATTTCAGGAATAATTCTACACCCTGTATTTCAGGGATGATTCCGCACCCTGTATTTCAGAGATGATTCCGCACCCTGTATTTCAGAGATGATTCCGCACCCTGTATTTGAAGGATAATCCCTGCACCCTGTATTTCAGGGATGATTCCGCACCCTGTATTTCAGAGATGATTCCGCACCCTGTATTTCAGGGATGATACCGCACCCTGTATTTAAAAAATAATTCTATACTCTGTAATTATTAAACATGCATAACATGATTAGTATTAGGGATAATTCTAAACCTTAATCCTATGTTTTACTTTCAGGGATGATTCTATACACTGTAATTATTAAACATGCATAACATGATTAGTATTAGGGATAATTCTAAACCCTTCAATCCAGCTAGGGATAATTTTATTACCAGTATTTCAAAGATAATTCTAAAATATGTATTGGATTCTTAATTCTAAATTCTAAATTCTGAATTCTAAATGCATTTCAGGGATAATTCTGAAATGGATCTACCACGAAGACAATCAAGGCATATGTTGGGAGCAGGTTGAAAATGACTAAATCACATTTAATCAATTAATTTTTTTTTAAACCAAGCTGAATTCTTTTAGTTTCGGAACAAACAACATAACTTAAAATGACAAAACCTTAAGTCAATTTTTTTAATGTTGATCAAAAATTAAAAATTGTTTTTTTCTTTGACACCTGTTAATGGTTTTGCTGTTGTTTTATTAGAAATGGTTTGTTTATATCCGCAGGAAAGTTTTAATAGTATTTGAGGGTACATTTATTTTACAAATACAAAAACAAGCTGTAGATAAGCTCAAAGGAAAAAATAATAAAAATAGGAATTTATTTTTCCAAATAAACAATCTCCCCCCCCCCCCCCTACATTTATGATTTAACCAATATTTTTTCATAAAATCTATTTTTTTTTCAATTTTCCTCTCTTTTCAAACATATTGAACATTTTTTTTGTCTAAAAAAACAAATTCTAAAATAAGGGAAGATTTTTGAACTGATCTTAAAATGTTTATTTATGTGCCCAAAAAAGGGAACTAATGAAATTTTTCTTCAGGTGATGATGAAGAACTCCAAAAGTTTAAAGAGTACATGTCCCAAAAAGGACTGTGAACAAAAACAGTAAATAGTGTGAAGAAAATGAAAGAACGAGAATAAAGTCAAATGGAGATTTTTTTTTCTGATCAAATTCTGAAACTTAAACATATCTTCTAACTACATGTAAATGCAATATGGTGAATTTAAATGGAAAATAAAATAAATTAAATGCTTTTATGTTAAAGGTCGCCTAAGAAATTTAGAGTTGATTGTAAAAAAAACCAAGCTTGCAGTTTGTTTGAGCTTTTGTATAGATTTCCCGAAAAGAAGTTTAGTCTTCTCAAATTTTCCCAATCCCTTTATCTTTGCAACCTACTGGTGTTAAACTTTAGATTATTTAATTCAGATTATTTAATCAAACAGAATTCGTGATTTGAAATAATGAAATAAAACTAGGAAAAAATATCTTAAATTTTGCATGATTTGATTATACCGAATATATAATTATATTTCGGCTTTTAATCATTCACTATTACTTTACCAAGTCCGATCATAACTCAGGAGCCCCTTTACCGATTTGCCTCAAATTTAGATTGAGTAACTCGGGAGAACCACGGGAAATTTCTTAGCTTGGTTTTAAGATTCTTAGTTAGGTGGACAGATAAAATCACAATTTACAAGTGCTACTTAAATATGTAAAGTAGTAAATTCTGTTTGTCAGTGTGTTTCTCTGACATGGTCGATAATAACTCATGAATCTTTTAATCAAATTGGCTCAAATATTGATTAAGGAAACGGAGTTTTTTTAAAGGTCGTATTTTAATTTTTCAAAAGTGGTTTTTACTTAGCCATCTATTTAATTAAGCTTTTCGCTCATATGTATTTATATGTCAGCTATAGCTGGCCAAACGGCTGAATCGAATAGACTGAAATTTTTTGAGGGAACCCACGAGTACCCGATAATACAAAAATTTTAAAATTGTTTTTCAAAATTTTTTTAAAAAAGATTATACGGGCAACGCCGGGCACTTCTGCTAATATTAAATAAAAACCGATTTTATTTAAAGTTATAAAAAAATATTTTTGTACTTCCAACATTTTTGCATGGCAAAAATGTGTTTGTTTGGCATTCTTCAGCCTATTTTTCTCCCTATTTAATGTATAAAATAACCTATTCTGAATCCATGTACGCGGTATTTGTACATCAGACAGCAAAAAACATATTTCTTTTTCAAATGGAGTACCGTCTGCAAAGCGTTTAATCATATGGTAGGGCGGGCCAGGTCGATTACTTCTTCCATATATTTCAGACTCATTGTGTTCTCACTATGAGATTGCAAAGATTTGGGACTAGAAAATAAGAGTTTGAGAAAAGTGATCATTTCCACTACGCTATTGATCAGATAAAGGTTTCAATGGTACCGTTGTGGATCGTGCATTGCCAACTTAAATTAAAATTACAGTCCCAATAAATGTAATTTAAGTTTAAGGATACAATATCATAATGTTAAAAATATTTTCTGTGATTTGAATTCTTCGCTAAAATTGAAAAATAACTTTTTTTACGAAATAATGTGAAAATTAATAAAATGTTTAAGTACAAATTTTCAGAAATTGGTAAATACATGACTTTTGTCATGTTTACAAGCTGAGATGAGGGGGGCC